GAAAAAGATGTGCCATTAAAATCTCCAAGCTATAGAGGCATTCTGGGGTGAACAAAAAATCATGTACAAAGAATGGTTATGCTCACCACTCTTTAAAAAAAAAAAAAAGTAATCCCAGCACTTGGGAAGCTGAAGCAGGAAGATCACAAGTTGAAGACCAACTTGGGCTATATACTGAGCTCCAGGCTGGCCTTGACTACATAGTAAGACTCTTGTCTCAACAAAACAAAAAGTGTGCATTTTTTTAAATAAACATTACTAATCTTTCTTAAAAACAATCAACTACTTGTCAAATCTAGTATTTGGGAGAATCTGTTACTGTCCACAAGATAGGGTTCATTTTTGAAAAAAAAAATTCATTCTTTGTTCCTTATCTTAGAATCTTTTCATATCTTAGGGAATGCATGTCTATTTGGAGGTATTCGTTTTGTTTTGTTTTGTTTTTTCCACAAGATGGAAGAGTAAAAATGAGCTTATACCAAATCTCTTGCTACTGTCTATAATTTTTCAGATTTCTCCAGCAAACTTCCTTGGCTTCCCCTTTTCATTCTTCTCATCTTTGAGAAATTAAGAACAGGATTTTCTTAAACCATGACATAAGTCTCCTCCACAATTACAACCTTTGGTTTCATTTCTCTGGGCTTCTGAACCCTGAGGGATGCATTTCACTTTACCTTCCTATTCATGTACACCAGCACACAGTTCAGGACTCAACTTACAGTTTGAAGCTATTATATAATCAGTCTTCTTTTGTCATTTCCTTTTCTCAGATCACTGGTCCTTTCATTGTTAGACTTCACTTTTAACCCAAATATTACTGCATTCTCAAACAGAAACTGTTTTCCTGGTAACTAATAGTTTCACTATAACCCTAAATACAGCAAAATTTCCATTCTATGAGACTCTGAATACCTGCTATGTGCCTAGGGCTAAAAAACATCCTAAGTTAAAAAGTTTAATACAGTGTCTGTCCCAAGCTCCCAAGCTGTAGACTGAAGGTGTGCACCCATTATACAGTTAGAAAATGAGTCAGTATTACACAAAGTATAATTCATGCAATCCAGAACCTCTGTAAGACTTGACATTTTGGATAACTATGTTTTCTAGCTAACCTACTGCTTCATCCTTTCAGGCAGCAAAAATTATACCTGAATCATGTTGAGTGGAAAACTAAAATACATATTTTTCCTACTTTCACTAACAAGTTATATTAAACATAATTGAATTGTTATTTAATGGCTAAAAGTACAAAAATAAACATAAATTGTAGCACTGTGATAGAGTACAATGCTGCCTGGAGCCTACTCAGGTGCGTAGGGCTATAAACATCTATGTCAAAAGCCTCGAATAACTAAGGGAGTTGGGGAGGGGAGCATGGAATAAATTTTGCCCTTTTTTTTTTTTTTGACAATCTGTCACACCGATATATATCATATTACTATAAATTCTGTAAGGGAATATATAGGGAGAAGGGCTAATTCTGATAAAGCACCTACAATGTACCAGGTCTGAGATACATTTTACAGTGCATCTAGCAATCACTACACCTGGCACCAAGTTGATGGGTAAACATTTGGTTAATGAATGGCATTAATATGACTGACTGAGCAGGTCCTCTCCTTTATTTGCTCTTTCTAATCTCCATGCCTTGGGGGAAAAAAAAATCACTGAACATAAAAGAACATCATTTAAAATGTGTCTGGCATGGCTGAGTGCTGTTGGCTCACACCTGTAATCCTAGCGACTTGGGTGGCTGAGTTCTGAAGGATCACAGTTCAAGACCAGCCCAAAGACATAGTTCCCAAGACCCCATCTCCAAAATAACCAGAACAAAAAGAGCTGGAGGTGTGGTTCAAGCAGTAGAGTGCCAGCTTTGCACGTGCAAAGTCTTGAGTTCAAACACCAGTCCCACAAAAAAAAAAAAAAAAAAAAAAGGAAATTTGCACATAGCAGGTACAGCATGGCAAAACTGTAAGCAATAAACTGAGGATAACTAACAGTGAGTCCCTAGAATGTGCAAGGAACAGTGGCAAGTTCATTGTATACATTACCTGAGACAATACCTAGAAGGCAGGTAGTATTATCCTCAGATATGGAAACAGAGGCTCAAAGTGGTTGGCTAACTTACAAAAAGTCAGAAGGTAGTTGGTGGTAGCAGTGGACTGTGAATCCAGGCAGCCTGATACCAGAACAAGTGATCTTCAGTCTAACACTGTATAGACTGAATAAAGGAATGGTAAACACACAGAGTCAAAACAACACGAAATATTTAACACTTTCTTTTCTAGTAGAAGTCTTCTTGGTTGACTTTCTGATTCTCAGGTACACTCTCAATAGGTGAGGAATAGTATATGTAAATATTATACTGACAGGCCAAAGTGATAAACTAAGTATGATCAGCTAAGTATGAGCTGATAAACCATATACTATAGATGTGTTCCCAAGTAGTGGCTACAGATATCTGTGTGTATTTGGGTCACCAGGGAGAGCTTTAAGAAGTTAAGACCTAAGCCCAAGGAGTGTAAGAATGAGAGAAGGGTGCATTTTGTAGCTTAAGAATACACACAGCCTTTGTGAAATAAGGGGCAGGGGGCAAAAATACATAACTAAATACACATAGGATTTAAAGCTACACCCACTGAAGCTCTAAGTTCCTTAAATAGCTGGACAAAGATAGGTTGCAAGTGGCTACACTAGTGGGGGTGGTAGGCACCAACTAATACAAAGGCCAGATCTGAAGCTGTGATTCCCCAGTTCTCATTAAATAACCCAGGTTCTTGACAGAGAGAGGGAGGCTGGGGTCATAGGGGACTCACCTCCACTATTTCTAAACTTACAGAGAGAGGACATGCTGACCTAGGGATTATGTAAATGCATGGTCTCATTTGCTCAGAAATCTTTCAGTAGGTTTAACCAGAGTCACCTCTAATTAATGACACACCTAGGGTAACAAGATCCTCCCTGCCCCTAGGAGTCACAGGAATGAGAAGCTTTTAGGATCTAGGGCCTGTACAACAGACAGAGGAGCAAGTCAGGAGTAGGCTTTCTTGCTCTGGGGAAGGGAGACACCACCAGTGATTTATGACAGAGACTGAACACAACATCAAGAAGCCCAAGGTAGAAGCATGGTGCTCAACAGACCTCCTCGTCTTGCTAACTAAATGGCAGCTAAATCTTCAGCAAAATTTCACCAACCTCTAAGTGAAAGTACCAAGAATAACTTGACCTGTACTTGAAGGCAGAAGATACTTGAAAGTTTCTAGCTCCAGTAGGATGTGCTGGGAGTTGAAGCATCTCTGGCAGATCTCCAACTGCTACATCAATTCATTAGTGACAGAGGCACCTCCAAACTTATATAGTCTTTCCCATATCTTTCAGACATTAAAACTGCAGAAAGCCAAAGAATCTAGGTAGGAGTGAAAATCCAATTTGTGCATTCAACATTCATTTATTGAGCAAGACACTCATCTCAGAGCCTGAGAATATAAACATGAGAAAAACTGTCACTCTGATAGAAGTATACCAATCTACTCTTATTTTATTTCTAAGGTGCCCAACTACTTAAGGGTCCAAGGAGGAAGTTCTCCTAGAGGCTTACAAGCACCAAAGAAGTCACCTTTCTCACTTCCATACCTCTGATCATAGTATGTCCAACTGAAACATTCCTATCGTACTTGATCTACCCAAACCCTCACTTTCTTCAAGGTCAGCTTAAGTCCCTCTTCTCCTGGGGTGGGGAGGGTGGGGGAAGGGAAGAAGTCATGACTTCCATCAAATCCCAAAGTGATGTCTCTGTACTCTGAATTACCAACAATTACAGTCAGTACCAGCACCATGCTTATTTAGAAATTGGTCATCCTCCAACTGTTTCTTTTATTTATTCAACAAATCTTGAGTACCCTACTATGAGCCAGTATTGTTCCCAGGGCTGGAGAAATAGTAGCAAACAATTCTGGGTTTTTCTTTTCCAGAGGAAGCCCCTGGACAGGGTTCTTCTCTTACAATGCTTTTCAAAATCTTCTTGTAAGGATCTGAGTTGGTACTCTGTACTTAATACCTAACGATTTTTTTACAGCCTTGTGTTTCTTTGGTCCAAGCTCACTCAAATTGAAGTTACATAAACTAATAGGGAACACAAGCCATTTCTAAGTGAACTTCCACATCTTAGAAACCTCAGAAGAACAAGGAAGGAAAAGAAAACAGGCTATGAAAGTGTCGCTGAACAAACACATTTTACTCACACTGACATAGCACCTCCAATCCCCCTTCAGAGCCACACAAAAGGGATCTCCCCCTCCCCTCCCCGAAGCCTTGCATCCCCAGATCCCAGTGTTTATTTTAGCAGATCTTGGAAACGTTTAAAGCACCTCAGTTTGCTAAACACGTCTTTCTAAATCTTTATTTCTTAATGATAAACCCTGCATATGCCACTTAGACTAATCCGGTGAGGAGGGCTACAAGGAACAACACTTGGAGCTTCGAGTCAAAAAAGGGCTCAAAGGCGAACATTTCGAACGTGATAAATCCAGAAACAATTTTAATATAAACAAAAGCGCAGTCCTGCAGAGCCTAGTGGAAGATTCCAAGTTCCTAAGAGAAGGAAATCCACAGAATTTCCTCCAGGGGAGCCTCGAGACTCTGGAAGGCGTGGGAGTTTCTGCATGAGGTGGGGGAGGTTGCATATATATATACACATGTATACGTATTTGCTCGAAAGTGGCTTTTGTGAGAAACAACAGCTGGCACCCCAGAGCGGACGAAGGTGAAGCCCGGCTGTGCCATGCCGCGGAGGCTGCCACCTGGGCACTCCCACCATTCTTCGCAGCCAGGTCAGGACGCGAGATAAGGGCAGCCCGCGCTCCCCTGGGCTCCCGGTTCCGCAGGCCCGGCACGCCGCAAGCCCACCCGTCCGAGCCCAGGGAGCTCAGACCTCTCTGGGGACCCAGGAGACCCGCGAGGGAGAGGGTCCCCAGGCGGCGGCCCGACCCGCGCGTACCCACCTGAGCAGACTGGAGAGGGGGTGACTGGAAGAGCCGAGGCCGCCACTGCCGCCGCCGCCGCCGCCGCCGCCCCCGGAGCCGCCGCCGCCGCCGCCGCCGCCCCCGAAGCCTGAAGAGAGCCGCTTCCCGGACAGCAGCTTCTCCACGGCCGGGAGGTGCCCGGTGCGGGCCGCCTCCAGCAGCTCCTGCTCCTTCCCCATCCCCAACACCGCCACCCCCTGGACCCCCTCCCAGGGGTCGCCGCGGAGCCTGTTCGGGATCCCAAACTTTCCGTCTCCGGGCAACGCACCCCCCAGACCTGCCGGGGACACCACCCCCCCTCCCCCCTCCCCCGCCTTCTGCCCCCCCACCGGCGCGTCACTTCCGGGATCCGGCGTCACGCGTCACCGCGCCCCCGCGCCCCGCCCCCTTGCCCACCTAGCTGGGCAGGGCTCCGGGGCCCGCGCAGGTGGACCTCCTTTACCGAGCAGGGCTCGGACCGCCAAGGGTCGATCCTGTGCGTGGCATTCGCTTAACAGGTGGAAGAGGACACACAGGGCCCACCTGTGAGCGCCTTCATAAGTGCGCTCCTCTCCCAAAGGTTTGGGGAGCTCACGGGACTAGAAGTATGATAATTCCTCCAGGCCAATGTAGAAATAAAAGAAATTTGTTAACGCGCACCTCCATTTCCAAGTCCATTCTTTAAAGATACATAAATTAAATATGTAATAGGTTCAGGGACCCAGTGATACAGAGATGAATAAAACCGCCTCTCTCCCGTCACTCAATGAAGAAAGAGGACATTTTTAAATAGAAATATCCCAGCCACTTTATCCTCCCAACCCATAAAATGTTTTGCTTCAGTTTAACTTTTTTTTTTTAAGTACTGGAGTTTGAACTCAGGGCTTCGCTCTTGCTAGCTTAAGTAAAACTTTCAAAAGAGAGCGCTCCTTTTTTGCAGGGTTTCCTCTTCCTATGAGAGTAATCAAACTGACATTTTTAAGGTCAGGTTTGTGAAACCAACTCCAATCTTGAGTACTGGTGAACTGCAGAAAAAGTTACGTAACTGGATAAGAACTATCTGTTTTGTTGCCCGGCACTAGCAGTGTTTCTGACTCGGGGCAACCCACCCCCAGACCGGCCGGGACTCACCGCCCCCCTTTTCCCCCCCCCGTCTTCTCTAGTCGATAGTTGAGTGAATAAACGAATTGGATACATTCTGCTCAAGCTGAATGACTCCCCCGCAACCCCCCCTTAGGCACTTTGCGAAATAAAAGGGAAATGCTAACAATTCTCTGATAAACGCAGCCCGCGGTCTCGGTCCATGTGAAATACACGAAGTCGAGTCCTTGCTTGAAAGTTTACCAGTCGCATTCAATAATGCCGGTATTACCACGGAACTGAGTTTTCTCCACTATCCGCCAACATTACACGGAGGGAGACTGGTGAAGGAAGAGGTTAACTGGACTCGTATTTCTAGAAATGAAGCCCTAGTAAACAAAACTGAGCTCCTTTTACAAATGCATGTTTCCTAGAGCGAAGAACCCACACTTCCGACTTTTCGCCCACTACTACGAAACCAGAATTGAATCCTTCAAGTCGTGTACGCCGCCTTCAAATGACCCCTCCGAGGCGCCGTATAAGGATGACGTCATCTCAGCGCGACAACAGGAAGTAAGCGCCCGGCCTTCTGTGCGGCTCCCAGTCTCGAGTTCCAGCATCTGACAGCGCTAAGAGCTTCTCTGCTCTACTCCTCCCCGCGATGGACCATGCCGGAGAATCACCCACCGACAAAGGCGCAGAAGCAGGGGCGTCAGATGAAACGACCGCTGCTCCCGGGGCCCCGGAGCCTACCGACACCGACGGAATGCCGGAGGAAACTGACGGAGACGGAGATGCAGACCTAAAAGAAGCCGCGGCGGAGGAAGGCGAGGTGAGAAAGAAGAAATGGGTTGATGAGACTGGAGGAGTACCTCGAGATTGTGTTACTGGCTGCTTGCCCAGCTTGCTGGGTTGGTTTCTCCCAAGCCGGGAGAGCTCGAACCTCACCAGCTGCGATCCCGAGGGCGAAGGGAGGGGACTATAAAATTCTGTGTTGGTTCGGTTGCAGAAGCCAAGCGCTGGGTTAATATTTTTAATCCTTGCCTTTAGGGATTAAAGTTTCTTCTAACAGAATTTAAACAGGCTTTTCCTGGTGAGGAAGTTGGGATCCGATGTCACACTAAGTCTTAGTGCAGGAACTAGAACCCAAGATTCCTAGTACCTCTTTTCACCGCAGTACTGTTCCTCTTAGATGTTACAGTTTAAGCACAGCTTTTGTCTTTAACAGTGGCAGAGTCAACCCGATCCGGTAAAAGGAGATTTTGGGTAAATCGTGTTCATAACCTCCTGAGACATTTAACTGCTACCAATGTCCTGAGTGGTAATATCTAGGGGTCTCTATAGTGTTAAAACCACAAACCATCAGTTGTCCACCCCAGGAGCTCAGCATTGTTGCCTAGCTGAGCAACAGGCAGTGGACCGATATCTCAGCGTTCTCTGGGTTCTAGTTCTACAGGCAGAATCTCGGGGTTCTAAAGCCAGAAGTGACTTGAGAGATCATGCAATGAACATTAGGAAAGATGAAAATTGCTTTTCAGAGCATGAATTTGCATCAATATATGTACAGAAAACTTTTTTTAAAGAAAAATATAACAAAACTCTTTGGTTTTGAGATAGGGTACCTGGGGTGTGTAGCCCAGATGGCCTTGAACTCTATCCTCTTGCTTTTGCCTTCTGAAGTGACAAAAACTATTTTCAGAAGGAAACTTGAAAACAGGTCTCAAGGGCAGAAAGAATTTGAATAGACTAGTTGACTAAGAGACCTTACTACATACAGAAATTTGCACCCAAAAGGATAAAATTGTGATGCTTCTAAAATCTTTTTAAAAATTGATTGTAGAGCCAGGTTTAGTAACAGTTGTAATCCAGCACTTGAATGCCAAAGCAGCAGGATCTGGAGTTCAATATATATATATTATATATATCATATATATATACCACTATATATATCATATATATATATACATGATATATATATCATGTACCAGACCACAAAGCAATAAACCTGAAATTAACACCAGAATATACCCCCATCCAAAAGCAAGCACTAATCAGACATGGTTAAACTATTTTGAAATGGCCTTTAGACTTAAGAAATAAATAGTAACAGTATTATCAGAATCTATAGGATTTGATCATAGCTTTATTTAGAAAAAATTCATAGCCTTACATATTTTTTAAAATAATCACCCAACTGAAGAAACCAGAAAAAGAACAAAATAAACTAGAAGACTGTAGAAACAAGACCTTAATAAGGATAAAAGTAAATACTAACGAATGATCACTTAAAAAGCTGGAGGGTAGGGCTTGTGGAGTGGCTGAAGTGGTAGAGCATCTTCCCAGCAAGCATGAGGCCCTGAGTTCAAATCCCAGTACTGAAGAAGAAAAAAAAAGCTGAGGGGTTAAGCTCAGTGGTCGAGTGCAAATGTAAAGCTGCAAGCAATACTACCAAAAAGAAAGGAAGGGACAGAGAAAGGAAACATTGACTTAATGTTCAAGTTTAGATCAAATAAATGTGCAAGTCTAAGAAAAAGAGATAATTTTTAAGGAAAATGTAAATCACCAAAATTGAAGCACAAAGAGGTTAGAAATCTGGTATAAATTAATTACTAGAAAGAAATTGAAAAGATTGTCAAAGATACGCTATATTCACATTCCACTGCCCTCCATATTCCTATGAATTTAAATCTCAGTTCCTCTTTAAGGGAAGCAATTAAATGTCAATAATGAGTTTTGTTGTATGCTTAAGAGTTCATAGAGGGGGCCAAAATTTGGATCTGATATTTATTCTTATTGAACAAACATTAAACATCTAGCATGAGTAAAACTTAAGTGCTTATGGGGGAGATAAATAACAGTAGACAAGGTTAATCTTCAGGAAGTTTTCAGTCTAGTAATGGGAAGTATATATTTGCATGACACAGTAGGATTGAAGGATAAGAAGAAAAGAATATCTCATGTGGGAGAAGCTCACTTAAAAGTTCCAAATTAAAACGCATTATTTTGATGAAAAGGGGGCCTCCTTTTTAATATTCTTTCGATATGGAATCAGCACCTGTGACTCGATTTCTACATCTGAAGTCACAATTGCTGGCTGATGGAGAGGACTTTGCTGACAGGTCAGAAGAGTGAGCCCAGACAAAGAGTGGTTGTTTTGATCTTTGGTATTTCCTTACTAGAAATACCAAACTTGAAATTCTAGAAATAGTAAACTTGAAAACTGGATAATTTAGCTAGTTTTCTTTCACAGTTGGGCTATAATCTTCCTTTAGGAGATAGATTGTATTTTACACTTAATATATAGCCAATGCCTAGAACCAAAGATATATCCAATAAATGAATTCGTTGTGTTTTAATGAGGATGATGTGTTCTTGTCTTGCTGAAGCCTGAAAAGTAGGCCAAATATATAACAGGGTTGCTTTCATCTTCCCAGCTCAAGAGTCAGGACATCTCAGATTTAACAGCAGTTGAAAGGGAAGATTCATCATCACTTACTCCTGCAGCCAAAAAACTGAAAATAGATAGCAAAGAAAAGAAAGAGAAGAAGCAGAAGGTGGATGAAGATGAGATCCAGAAGATGCAGTGAGTCACTTTCTGGTCATTCCCTTTTTCAAGGCTCTAACTCAACTATACAAATCTAATCAATTTTCTTGGCCTTTAATTGTTTTTTCTTTTTTAAACTCAAAAGAAAATAAAGTAATACTTTATGTTATAGTATAGTAAATACAAATAAGAAAAATGAAAAAAAAAATCTCACCACCACGAGATATACACTAATATTATGATGTATATGTCCCAAGATATTGCGTATTCATATGTCTAAATAAAATTAAATAATTTCTTTTTCAAAAATGAATGCTATATTCTCTTATTTTCCATGTTAGTAATTATACATCTAGGTCATAATTCTCTGCAGAAACTTCATTATCTAATTATAATAGTATGGGTAGTATGGGCATATTGCAAATAATATAGAGAATACAGAAACAAAAAATTATATATATATATATATATATAAATATGCATACACATGTATACATATACACACGTATTTCAAGCTGTTTTTGTTTTTTTGTTTTGTTTTTTTTTCCAAGCTGGTTTCTGATAGCTAAATATTTTTGTGTCAGCAAATATACTCATAAATCATTTTTCTTGGCTGCATTGTATCCCATTATGTGGATAAAAGATAATATGACCAACCCTGTAACTATTGTGGTTGGGTTTTTTTCTTTCCTCTCCTTTCTTCCCCTCTCCTCTTTCCTTTCCTTCCTTCCTTCCTTCCTTTTCTTTCTTCCTTTCCTTTCCTTTCTTTCTTCTTTTTTCTTTCAGTTATATTTCAAATGGGGTCCAGACCAGCCTGGGCCTTAGTCCTCCTTTTTATATTTCCCATAGCTGGGATGATAGGAGTGTGCCACCATACCCAGCTTTTTTTTTTTTGGTTAAAATGATGGGATCTGGCAAACTTTTTTCTCTGAGGCTAGCCTCCATCCACAATCTTCCTAGTGTCTACCTCCAAAGTAGTTAGGATTACAGACTTGAGCCACTGCACCCAGCTTCTTTTATATCTTTAGGCACATCTTTGCATACTTGTTAATTGCTTTCTAAGATAAACTCTAACAAGTATATTGCTGAATGAAACAGTATGAACATTTTTCAAAGGCTTTTCATGCGTATTTCCACATTTATGTTATCTTGTTTTAATTTGGTTAAGAGAAGGTAGGTCTTTTTCCTTTGTGTTTATTGGCCATTGATATTTTTGAAAATTTCCTGTTTGTGTCCTTTGTTCATTTTCTAAAATTTTTGGCATGTATTTTATAAATATTTTCCCTAAATGTGTTAATTTTGAAAACTCTGATTTAAATATAAATTTATATATTAAATTTTTATCAGTTTGATAATTTTTTTTTTCAGTACTGGGGTTTGAACTCAGGGCCTCAAGCTTGTTAAGCAGGCACTCTTACAGCTTGAGCCACCCCACCAGCCCTCTTATTATCAATTTGAAATGCAGTAAGATAGAATTTGGAGGAGGGAGAACCTAATGCTAAAATCACAATCTATATTGTATGATACAGTGACCCCATGTTAAGTTTTGTCCTTAGTGATAGAAAGGAAATTGTGTTTCACTCTTTCTCAAGTTCCTTAGGAATAGGAATAGTTTACTGCCATTCTTTATAAGCACCAAGCCTAATGCCACTGACTCCTTGAAAATTCATTTTTGAGATTTGCTTTTATTTATTTAATGATATATCTTTAGCAGCCATTCTTATTAGCTAACTTATTACCTGAATCTTTCTCTAGAATCCTGGTTTCTTCTTTTTCTGAGGAGCAACTGAATCGTTATGAAATGTATCGCCGGTCAGCTTTCCCTAAGGCAGCCATTAAAAGGGTAAGGATGGATCATCACCCTTCATTTCCTGTCATCTCCTGAACCAGACTTGGTAACTATGCTATGTCCAGAGCATTTTGACATAAGGTGTTAAAACAAATTGGTTGATTATTTAGGCAGGAAAATAAAAATTATGTTTCTCAACTAAGCAATTTCAGTTTTGTAGGCCAGGTTAGGGTATCAGGTCATAACACACATGAATCCTTATTTTGATAGTCTTAATATCAGCATGCAGCCTTTAGTGAACACTGTTTCAGTGCGAAGCTCTTATTGGCACTACATTCCCAAGCCTTGACTATCTTTTGTTTTTGGGGTTTTTTTGTTTGGTTTTTTTTATTTTGGTAGGGCTAGGATTTGAACTCAGAGCTTCATGCTTGCAAACTCATGCTCAGGTATTCTACTACCTGAGCGACATCTGCAGTTCCCATTGACTGGCTATCTTAATCACAGAGTCTTTGTCTTTCTTTTAAGCTAATCCAGTCCATCACTGGCACCTCCGTGTCCCAGAATGTTGTTATTGCTATGTCTGGTATTTCCAAGGTTTTTGTCGGAGAGGTAGTAGAAGAAGGTGAGTAATACGGGTCACACATACTAGATTATACCTGTGGTGGTCTGATTTTCAAGAATATCTACACCAAAGAACTTAATAAAACACCTATGAGAGTTTCCATATGAACTAGAAATTGACCACGTGGAGAGCCTTGGATTCAGAGCAGACAGACCATTATTTCTTCAGTTTCAATACAAGGGGCAAGGAGCCATATAGGAAATCCCTCTCCCTCATTCCTGTCCTCAGCCCAGGGTGATAGAAACAACTTTATATATTTCACCAGCAGAGCTTGCTTATTTCTGCTGCCAAAAGCAAATATACAAGAAAAGCAACCACCAGGGCTGACCAGTGTGGTACAGTGAATAGTTATTCCTGATATTGTTACCCCTGGGGACAACTACCCCCTCTTTGGAGTAAAAAGCCTGGCTGCTTCCCATCACTAATCTCTAGCTGATAAAACCTTTCATTTTCTTAAGGTCTTAGGAGATAGATTTTAAACTGTTGCCTGTAATGAAGCCCCTTGTGATATTACTAAAAATAACATGAAACATTTTCTGGCATTCTCTTAAAAGGAAATATCCTGGTTTATTTCCTTAGCAAATTTCAGATGTGTTAGGGAGACTTACAGGATTCAAAAGGATTATGTGCTTAATAAGTTCTTATGTGATGGTCACACTTTCTTCCTTCCCTATGCAGCGCTGGATGTATGTGAGAAGTGGGGAGAAATGCCACCACTACAACCCAAACACATGAGGGAAGCTGTTCGGAGGTTGAAGTCAAAGGGGCAAATTCCCAACTCAAAGCACAAAAAAATCATCTTCTTCTAGACAAAACCCAGGAAGCCCTGTTGCTAAGTAGTTCCAGACATCCTCTTACATGAGGCTTTCTACACTGGTGCTTCGGTAGCTCAGTCCTCCGAGGATTTGATGGTGATGATTTTAATATTTCTCAAAACTGGTATTTGCTGTACCTAGAAGGCATGCAGCTTGTTTCAATCTTGTTTTGACTACATTTTGGACCTTGTAGAGCAATTTGAGGTATTTCACCATTTCTTGGCTAGTTGGAAGAAGAAAGGTGCGAGCCTTCAGCATGTCCTCAACAGGGGAGCTGCTTTCAGAGACACAAAACTTGAGAGAGCTTTCATGGCTTCACATTGAAGCCTGAAGTTGCCAAGGCTTGGGTTTTTCTTACTTCTGGTTCTAAGTAGATGGAACAACCACAGACTTTTGACTTGTGATACTCTGCCATGAAGGACATGGTGGTAACAGGAGTAATGGAATATCATTTAAGACTCTACTGTGGATTTTGGCGAGTGATTATTAAAGTTTTCCAGCTTGCTGCATGTGCATCCATTGTGTCTAGCTGGGGAGAAGTCCATCATTCTTTCTTGGTGTCCAGAGAAAACTGGTCTTGGCTTTTTCATGAAATAGTGTGAGCCCTTCACATTTTCTGTGAGAACTATTAAAATTTCAGCTCACAAACAAGCACTTCAAACGCTGTTTAAAACCACATAAATCCCAGCACTGGGGCTAGGCAGGACAATCTTGAATTCAAGGCCAGTGTGGACTACATAACAAGACCCTGTCTCAAATTCCCCCCCACACCAAGTAAAAGATCATATATTTCAAGTTCTATAAATAGACATACCACAACCAACAGTTTAGTAAGTTTAATTTTTTTTCAGGTGGTTCATAGAACCAGTACACTCAAGAGTTTGATGAGATATTGCAACATTAAAACTTCCCAATACTGACCAAGATTCCAGTTCATCACATACATTCTCATTGTTTTCCTCAGAGAGGAATGGAGTGACCTTTTATTGACAGTGATTATCAGTAATAAGGCTACTACATATAATTGGCAATCCCCCAGAATTCTTTCCCATCTATGGTTTCAGAGTCACAGGGAGAAGGATTTTGAAGCTGTTCTCTTTTGAAGCTTTCCTGAGCAGGTCTTAGTAAAGATTCCAGTTCCATTTAGCACCCTGAGGGGGAGAAACAGCTTGGACTCATGAAGGTGGACCTATCTTACATTAGTATCTTACGTTAAAACTCATTGGCTTAGCCAATGGACAAGACACTTCAGTGGAGCATTTCACAAAGAAATGCTGTAAGATTCAGGCTAAATCTTTACCAAAAACTAATAAACTGACACACAAGATATTCTCTCATCACTAATAGGAGTTTTGTTTTTTTTTTTTTCAACACAGGAACTACACCCACTGAAATTAGAGATACTGGATAAGGCTGAAACTGAATAAACAACAGAGGACAATCAAATCTCAAGTCTGGCCACTTAGCAAATCCTCACTGTTATAAAGTGTTTTTCCCCTGTTCATGGGGAACAAATGCCCATTGAATAATAGCTACTGCCTACACCTACACAGAGGTGAATGGGGCATTCCTAGTCTAGCAGAAGGCAAGAAAGCAACTAGGCAAAGGCCCTAGTCTCTGAAAGGATAGTACATCACCCCGACTTTTACAGTTCTCAACCAGATGCCATCGTACTAGCTTATATGCCAAAGTTTATGGTTCTGTGATTTTACTATAACTGATTTTAGAAGTTTAGGCAAGTATTAAAGGGGGGAGGGGAACACCCTACTATAAAGGTTTGGAATGGAAAGTTCCCATATGGCAATACACAAACTACCTTCTTTCCACCACTCTGTTTCCTCATAAGGGGAAACGATAGAAATGTGTTAATGGAACCATTTGAGTTATGGGATATGTGAGGGGTAGTGTTTATATCCCTTATCTATTCCATATACAAGTGCCTGTCTTTTAGAACCACGGAAAGGAGATACAAAGGTTGAGGCCCAAGGCAAAATGAGAGATGACATATATAGTCAAAAGTAGCCATCATGTGAATAGAATCCACTTTTGTCTTATACCAGAAAAAACTAGGTTAATTATTCCAGTGAATTGAAAAAGAATTTGAGATTGACAGCCATCCCTGCAGTCCAGTTACACAAAGGATTTAACTTTAGTCCATATGCACAAGCATATCCCCAGCACCTGCATATAAACAGTACATCTAGACAGTTATAGATAATACACAGTCACAAATGCTTCACAGCTGAAAGGGTAACACGCAGTGCCTAAACTCTCCACGGATTGCAGTTCTATCACTACAGACATTTTCTTGAGGTACTGTTATTTCTTATTCAGTCTTATAGCTCCAAGGCAGAAAACATAAGCAAGTCCAAGAGGGCTGACAATACGTTTTCGTTCTATTATTTTCCTTTACATTTATCCTGAAGATTACCACCAGTTCACATTTCATTATGAAAAAGTCTCATCCCCCAGTGAATAGGAATATGAAATTATACAAGATAATTTTTACTAAAATCCCAAGAAATAGTGAACCCTGTCATATTTCCTGAGGGGAGGATTTCAAGACACAATGGGAAGTAAGAAACTGTAAGGCTCCATTTGTCAAATGGACAAGACAGACTTATCCGAGGGCCCAGAAACTGACAGCTCTGGGCATTAAGGGATATTCTTGGTACTTGTATGTTTCTACTACAAGTTTAAGGTAAGGTATACTAAGCAACACCTACTAGACATTTTCTTTGAATGAAGTGTTGCCAGAGGTATAGTATGAGCAGGAGAGGAATGGAAGGAAACAGAATGTGATTTTTAAACCAATTCAGTTGAGCCTGAGGTTGAATAATTCTATTTGCCAGCTATTGACTCTACCTCACCCCTCCTCCCCCTCCAAGAACATTAGAAATGTCACACTTGAGAGGAACAGTGATCCACTTAGTCCAACATTCTGCCTTTAAAGCAGCACTGAGGGACAGACTATGGAGGGACAGTTGCCCTCTCAGTCGTATATCACCAAGAAGCCCGCTTTCTTGATTCCTTTGGGAGGTCATCATACAAATATTCCTCTTAAATCTGCACCCACGTATAGTTTCAGTCTGCGTCACTTCTTAGACAACATGATCTTCAAGTTTCTGATTTGTTAGAAGTACTTTCTTTTACCCAAGTTGGGATGGAGCCCTACAGCTAATGTTTCAGGACTGGGTCCTTGTTCTTGACTGGACATGTGATCAAACATTCCCCTCAGCAGAACCAAAGTCTACACTTTAAAGACCTATCCTCACATGAAAGTACCTCCACCCCTGATCATTTATGTTGTCTGGATCTTTGCTCCTTTCACCATCTATTTGATAAACAAGGTCACTAGAAACACACAGGTAATTGGATTAAGCCTTCCCCATAGTTTTGCATGAAGTGCTGTTCTGTGTTGTCCACAGCACCCTTCCTGAAAGTGCCTGGAGGGCAGTCAGGCCTTTGGCCCCAGCAGCACATCTTCCCTCTCAGCAAGGCTTTGGTGTCTTTCCCGAGTTCTAACAGAGCGCACTGCCATATCATTTGATCATTCTTCCATAAATACATTACCTTCCATGTACTATGCTGAACCTCACCTGTCACTTTTCTGAGTATCCACAGCCCTTCCTGTTATGCCCTTTCTGTGGCTCTGGTTTTTGTTTATCTCGTCTGGTCTACATTTCATTGCCTGGAAGTAGCAACATCTGATTTTGCTGTTAAATCCTACTTTCGTGTCATTTATAAACTCTTAAATAAGACTAAACTGTGAGTATCAACACTGTTCCCCTGTTATCTTTATCTCTGGATTTGTCTCCAATTTGTTTCCTAAGCATGCCAAATTCCCATAATCCCATAGTAACTGGTCTTTTAAAAGTCTGCCTCGCTAAAGAGACATGACAAAGTCCTTTAAAAGTCTGAATAAATTAGAACTTAACCTTCATGAATGAATGTTTCTTTCTGTCCTCTAAAAAACTAGAGTGTAGCTGGGTATGGTAGCACACACCTGTATTCTCATCTGACACTGAAGGATCTCAAGTTTGAGGCCAGTCTGGACTACACAGAAAGACTGTCTCAAAATACCTCTCCACCTGCCCCTCGCCAAAAAAATACCTAATGTATGCAAGTCAGCATGATTTTCCATAAAATCATGCTTTTTTTCTCCTTCAGTAAGTCTTGTATGGGATGGGGATATGTCTCAAGTGGTAGAGCATCTGCCTCATAAGCACAAACCCAAGAGTTCAAACCCCAGTGCCACCAAAAAAAAATCCAAAATCCATGTATGATTAAGATTTTAGTGACATCACTAACTCATTATTTTGCCATCTGGCCAAGTCAAAGTTAGTTAGTTAATGAACTTCTGTCCAATCAACACAGCTTAAAGTGTACCAAAGAGCAGTATGGTGAAGGAAAAGTTTTAGAGAATTAAAAAAGAGGGGAAATAGTTATTTTATAGGGCAAGGGTAGAAACCTAGCTAGGCGGAGGGTTTTTGTTTTACTTAAGTCAAAAGGACATGATTTTAAAAAACCACAGTAATAGAAGAGAGTGAGAGGCAGCAGGCAGAGATATTTACATTGAGATTTAAAACACACTTTCAGCACTCAAACCACCAGGTGCTGAGGCAAGCACTGGTACAAAGTCATTGTGCTAAGAAAGCAGATGACCAGGGACTCCAGGACATAAGGAAATGGCCTCTCAGATGCAGCTATGAGAGAGGCCATGACTCCAGGGGCCAAGGGTTGCACTCCTCTGCTGGTCAGCCTGCCCAAAGTGAGTATTTTCCCTTGATTTAAATTTCAAATAAATGTTAAAGAAAGGAAAGATGATATGGCTGAGTCACAACTGTTGTTTACTTTCTACCATGGCACTGATGAAATTACAAGAAAAAGAAGCTTGACTCTGAAGTATCTGATTGGAGTATCAGCCAAGACAACATGAGCCTGGTTCTCATTGCAAACCAAGTCTCCCTTAGTCTTGTGCCTCTTCTGCCCCTGCCCCCTTGCTCAGCTACTTCCTGTTCTACTTCACTATCCAAACCAAAACTCAAGCCAAAGACTTTTCAGGTCTGCTGCAGGAAGTTCTGGGACATGGAATCTTTGGTGGCTCTGTGGGTGACTGAGGAGGTGGGTACTGTCACTTGTTCACATAGGTTGTAAGGAAAGCAAATATCTCTGCAACGAAACTGAGGTGAAATGGCCCTATGGTGTGGAGAAGATTCTACTTCATATGCACAGGGCCAAAAGGCCTGATACAGAAAGACAGGATGCATGAGCCACATACAAAGCTACCCCTGATTTCTTGGCATGTGGTCACACTTTGCCCTATCCTTCATCCAGTTAGAACAGCTAGTAGTAAGCACATGGCAAGGTGAATTGAACACTCCACAGTCCCTCTGATGTCCTCCACAGATGAATCACACTGGACAGCACCCTCTGTCCTAAGTGGTGCTATTGCTGGTGATCTCTTCTCTCCTTGGCACAGGTGGCTAAGCCACTGTTATCAGAGGTCAAAGAGGGGGTTATATTTCCTAATCTCCTGAAGAAGTTTCTCTTTGTCCTGGTTGGCATTGGCTAGTGCTTGTTTAGTTTCTATGAGTTCTTTTTGTAGGGTAGGCAGCTCTTTCACCTGAGAAACAATAAGTAGTACACAATTAGTGATCATGGTAATGCTACCTTGAGACAACATCCAGAAAGGGGGAGGGGAGGAAGAATTCAAATAGAAAAACCCATAGGTTAGGTCTATGATCAAGAGAACGCAACTAGATCTTTTCCAAGAGCTTAATTCCCTCTTCAGAGTTTACCAGTGACAGAGCAGCAACCATCCACCTTCTAGCTTCTGGCTTATATCCTCCAGTCAGCACTTCCAAAAGCTGCTGTTAAGGGACAGGAGCACAAACTGCCTAGCTGCACACAACACAAGTGACCTTCTCAGCCCTCTGGGTTTTACTAGCTTCCACAATTATAGCCCCTAAAGGTTTATGGGAAGGTGCCATTCAGTTAAGTCCTCACCTGCTGTCCAAAAACCTCTCCTGAGGGCACCAGGAACACCTGTTCTTTTGAGAGCTGCTTCTCACTTTTAGGTACTTCAGCCGGCAGTCTATCCTGAGCAGCAGCTGGAGAAAAAAGTGAAGATTCTAACTGATAAAACTGTTGCCAACAGCCAGACAGTTCTTAGTTGTCACCTATTTACTTATAAGATAAAAAAAGACCGAGAGACAAAGAGGCTGATAAGCCCACTCACCACTGATGTGGAATACACCATCATCGCTCCGCTTCAATGAAATGTGCTCCATGGCCAGGGTGATGGGGGCAGGGCCTGGAGACGTTGGATAGATGGGGGGAATGTCATCCTGCAGGAAAGAGGGAAATGCATGGTGCTCCCATCCAGCTCAGGGCAACTGAGGTAATATACTCATGCCTCCGCCATTCAGCTTGAAGCAGTTTTATGCCACTGGTTATCCATACATTTTTGCAAGGTATGAGAGGCCTAAACTGAGTTTGTCCATTCTAGGGATGACGAAATTAAGGATCAGAGAACCTGAGGGCTTGCACATGAGAATGCTGCATGCACGCCAAAAACAAGGTTAGGATTACAGAAAAAATTTCCTCACCTGCACTTTTGATTACAACATACAAATTTATATAGCCCGAAACACTGTCAGAATGCTAAGATTCATTTCCTCACTCGATCCTTACACATTTTACAACAACAAAGGAAGAGCTAACAACTGTCACTAACAGAATCCTTTGTGTGACAAAATCCACAGCAAAACAATCCCTCTCACCTTTAGGGTGATACTGGAGTTCAGCAGCTCAATCTGCATAGGGACTACCACTGGGGCTTCCTCATCCTCCAAGAAAGGCCCCAGGCCATTGAGTACTGATGTGAGCAGCTCAAGGTCACAGCCATGAAGCAAGAAATGCAAGAAGCCATTTTGTGTGGCCAGGGGAGAATGAATAGCTGCACCAGGCCCCACCTCAAAGCGAAGGCCCACGGCAGGCCTGACACGGCCAGTCTTCAAATTTGAGGATTCCTGGAAGCTTGTTCCTTTGAAAAAAAGGATAAAGAAAACATTAACATAGGAACTATGCTAAGCACATTACATATATTCAATATTCACAATAACCCAAAGTATCATCATCATCCCATCTTATAGATGAATGAATAACTTGCCCAAAGTTAACACATTTAGTAAGTACCAAGGATAAGATTAGAACCCAAGTCATCTGACTGCAAAGTCCAAGGGCTTAACTATTTTGCAATAATGCCTTTCAAAGTAGAAGAGAGGTAAAGAACCAACAAAAAGCTGGCCCTACTATGAATTTGAGAAACTAGGCTAATGGTCAAGGGAAACCTCTTAAAACATAGAACCTTCACTGGATGTGGTAGCACATGCCTGTTATCCCAATTACTTAGGAGGTGGAGACAGGAGGATTTAGAGTTTAAGGTCAGCTTGGAGAAAGTTACCAAGACCCTATCTCAAAAACAAGATACAAACATAAGGGCTGGGAGTGTGACTCAAGTTGTAAACCATAAGGGCTTGATTCAATTTCCAGTGCTGAAATAAAGGAAAAAAAGAGAAAAAGGAAAAAAAGGCAGGCAGGGAGGGAGGGAAGGAGGGAGGACAGTAGTTCCACATCTATTTCTTTATCAGATATAGTTTTCTGTTAGCAGCCACACAAATGAAGGAATGGATACTGTCCTCATGTATATGCTCAAGAATCACCTGAGCAGTGAGGACAGACTGGTCCATGAATGTAAATCCCCAGAAAGAGCTGTGGTAGGCAAGAAAAATGCTTCACTGGAGTTTTCCCTCTCCCAGAGGCTGCTGGGGAAAAAAGCCAAGGGCTTGGCTCTGGAGCAGTTGCCCTTAGAAGGACAAGAGCCAGCTAACTTCTGGTTGCCCTTGAATAAATCCCATAGCTCCCTCAGAATGGCCACCATCCTTACCTGGGCATTGTCCATGCAGAAACTGCCAGAGTCCCACAGTGCCCAGCTGCTGCAGGGTTAGTTCCTCTGCTTGCAAGGCTATAGTCAGGTCCTCACCATGAACCTCAATCCCAAAAGACACCTCATTCACCTTCAGGACCAAAACTGAGACCTGTCAAATGAGATTCTCTTAGTTCTGAGTCCCAGGCTTTGAGCTCAGAGCCTACCCTCTGCAGAGAAGAAAGTGAAGCAGCTGACCGGGTGAAGAACAAGGTTGCCACTGGGTGAAACTGAACTGTTGGCCTCTGGGGACCCCTGTCCACAATTATCCACAACAGGGTTCCCTTCAACAGCAGAATCATCCAGAACACTTGGCAGAGATCCTGGTGGAACAGATTCTGGACCAGACTCTGCATGAGAAAGATAACAAGATTCCAAAAGTCAAGAGATTCTGTTCAGATCCAACTTCTAAAAAAAATGACAACTGCAAAAACAAAATATGTGTGACATTTATAAGACAACTGGAAATTTGAGGACTAACCAGATACATCTGATTAAGAAATTATTGTTGGTTTCTAAAAGCATGATAATGGCATTGGTCACATTTAATAACACCTGCAAATGGAAGCAACCCAAATGTCCATTGGTGGATGAATGCATAAACAAAATGTGGTCTATCCATACAATGGAACCATAGTCAGCCTCAAAGTGGAAAGAAATGCTGATGCAAAAATAAGTTCCTCATAAAAAGACAAACACTGTATTAATCCATTAATATGAGGTACCTAAACTCATCAAATTTAGAAAGTGGAATGGTGACTGTCAGGAGCTGGAGGAAGCAGGGAACGAGGGGTAAGTGTTTAGTAAGTTTCAGTTTTGTAAGACAAAGGGTCGTGGGGACAGATGGTGGTAATGATTGCACAACAATGAGGATGTATTAAATACCACTGAATTGTACACTTTAAAATGGTTAAGATAGTAAATTTTATGTGTACTTTATCACAATTTTAAAAAACATTTACTAGCCTGGGCTACACAGTGAGACCCTGTGTCAAAAAAGAAATTTTTTTGTTTGTTTGACTAGGATTTGAACTCAGGGCTTCATGCCTGTCAAGCACATGCTCTACTGCTTGAACCACACCCCTGCTTTGGTTATTTTAGAGATGGGGTCTCACAACCTTTTTGCCCAGGCTGGCCTTGAACCTCAATCACCTTGTTCTCAGCCTCCTAAATAGCTAGGATTACAGGCATGCCACCAGCTAAGAAAGAAATTTGTGTGTATGTGTGGTACTGGTGCCTGAACTCAGTGCCTCATACTTGCTAGGCAGGCATTCTACCACTTAAGCCACTCCGCCAGACCTAAAAAAAGGAAATTTTTTAAAGTCTGTTTTCTAGTAATACATAACTGAAAATATGCAAGGATAAAATGATAGATAGTGTTTGGGGCCAGGCATTGTGGCACACAACTATAAATCCCAGCACTCAGGAGTCAGAAGTTATAGGGCTCAAGTTCAAAGCCAGCCCGGGCCCTTGAGACCCTGTCTCAAAAAATAAATAAATAAATAAATAAATAAATAATACCTTTGAGATTTACTTCAAAGTAATATAGAAAGGCCAAGATCAGGAGGATCTCAGTTTGAGGCCAGCCTGAGCAATGGGGGCCCTATCTCCAAAATACTCAACACAAAAAAAGGCTGATGGGGGTGGCTCAAGTGGTAAAGTACCTGCCTAGCAAGCACAAGACCCTGAGTTCAAACACCAGTACCACAAAAAAAAAACTAAAAGTAGAGTTCCCATATAATCCAGCAATCCTACTTCTGGTATATATCCAAAAGAAATGAAATCAGAACACTGAAAAGACATCTGCACTCCCATGTTTATTGTAGCACTATTCATAACTTGTAGCCAAGTTATAAAATCAAACTATGTGTGTCCATCAACCAATGAATAGATAAAGAAATTCTGATATATACACACATACACACACACACACACACACACACACACACACACACACACGATGGAATACTATTCAACCTTTAAAAAGAAGGAAATCTTGTCATTTGGGACAATGTAGATGTACCTGGAGGGAGGACATTACGCTAAATAAAATGAGTCAGGCACAGAAAAGCAAAAATTGAGTATTTCGCCTCTATGTAGAATCTGAAACAATCAAACACATACAAAGAGCAGAATGGTGGTTACCAGGGGCTGGGGAGTGGAGGGAATGGAGAGATGTTGGTCAAAGGGAACAATGTTTCAGCTAGAAAGAAAGAATAAATGATAAGTATTTGAGGTAATACACATGTTAATTAGCTTGATTCAAAAATTCCACAATGTACATCAGAGCATCACTTTGTATCTCATAAACATATACAGCTATAATTTATCAATATTCAATAAAAAATGAAATAAAAAGGTAGGGGCCAAGGGTCTAGACCAGTAGAGCATTTGCCCATGCTCAAAGCCCTAGGTTAGAGCCCCAGCACCACAAAAAAAAAAAGTTTTTAATTTAAAAAAAAGCAAAAAAATAAATAAAAATAGTACAATTTCTCTTTAGCTATTCTGAAGGGGTCATTTATTAAGTTTCTACTTTGATAAGCTAAAAGAAACTATATAATTTCCAGAGGTGACTGATTTAATTCCTAAAAATTACTCATTTTATCAATAGACAAAATCTCCAAGTCACTTTCCAACAATAAATTACATAGGTGAAACAACAAAAACAAGAACCCCAGACAACAAACATACACCACTGATACAAAATTAACCCTTTTTACATAATACATGGCTGAAAGACTAGTAATTTCTCCTTTAGTTTGTGGCCAGAACAACAAAATTACTAAATTTTCTCTCTCTTTCTGTTTTGGTTAAGAAAATGTCCACATTATTATGTCTAGCTCCTCCTCAATCCTGCTGATTTGAATATTAGCTACAGAGGGAATACTTTCTGGACTTCTACAACTTTACTCCCACATACCAGACTCCAAGAGCATCACAAAGCCATCACTGCCATCACTGTCCACTGAAATCCGGTCTTCAGGGCCACTGCTATCCACTGAAACACCATCAAATGACTGCTGAGATACTGTCCTCTTCATGGAGAAAAATCTGAGTCGGGCAGCACCTCCACTCGCTGGGGTTGCCACCCCCTCATCTGTCTTAGCCAAGGGTTCCCTATTTAAAAAAACAAAAACAAAAAACAAAACCCACACATGTAGTGAAGGCATGTTTGTCCCCATCCCTATGTAATACACTTCCCCAACTGACAAATTAACATGAATATAAATTTGGTATTACCTAATACCTGCTGTAGAAGGATGAAGTTATTTTCAACCACTAGCTTTTCTGAATCCCCTTTTTCCAGCACTTTTCACTGTGTAAAAAGCTAATCAACATTAAATATCAAGGCTACTCAGGGTCATCCCATACACAAAAGAGGTCAGATACCTACACCGTGGGGCTAATAAATGAGACCTGAAGACACCTGTGTTCATCTCACAGGCCTTTATTGAATAGCTTCTATATGCTCCAGGAAGGACTTCAGGGTGGATAAGCTGATGAATAAGACATCCCCTGTCCTCGAAGAATTTATAATCTATTGGAAGAGATTTACATATATATAACATTATATGGGAGAAAGGCAAACATGTCATAAGAGAGAGGCAGAGGTACAAGCCAAAGGCTAGACTATATCATGGAGGGGAAAAGATGAGAAGGGGATCAAGAACAGCTTTGTGCAAGGAGATGGCACTTGAGGTGAGCTCTTGAAGGACTGAGAAAAGGAGAGTAGAAAGCATAAGAACAGAATACAACATGAACACAGGCAGAAACAAAGGAAGTAGCTCAGGCTAGCTGAAGTGCAGGTTTTGTTGAAGAGAGCAAAGCAGATATAGCTGGAAAGGCATAACAGTTGAAAAGAAACCTTTAAAGACATTTTAATCCTACCTTCCTGTTTCACAGATGAAGAAACTGACCCATGGTCAACAGTTAAAGGGGGGAATTAAGAAAAACCCAAGCCCCCTAACTTCCCACTAAACGCTTTTCATTTCACCGCATGGGTTGCAGTCAGATTATAGAAAAGCTTGAATTAAAGATTACATATTAAAGTGCTATAAAAACCATCAAGTGTTGCATGGATATATCTTAATAATTGGTATGCCACTCTAAGAAATTAAAACTGGAGTTCAGTGGTAGAATGCTTGCCTAGCACACATGAGGCCCTGGGTTCAGTCCCTGCCACAGGAAAAAAACAAAAGCTCAACTTAAGTTCAGGAGTATGAAGGAAAAAGCTGAAGGCTTTGGAGCAGGGAAATGACAAGATTACATCTGTGGTTTAAGAATTCTAACCTAGCGTTCCAATCAGTAATCTACTACAACAGTCCACAAGTGGGAACAGACAGGAAACACCAGTGGGAGACTGCCCTAGAGAGTGAGTCGTGACAGGAGAAACAGCATCAACAAAGAACTCTTTAGAAGTGAAAAATGCTCTGCACAATCTCTTATCTACGGAATGAGGAGCTCTAGAACAGGGCTTTCAACAAGTTTTAACAAGCTCTCCAGGTAATTTGAAAACACACTCTCAAATGTGGAAACCACTGACCTAGGAATTATGGTCACAACACAACAAATGACTGTAAAATGGTCCAGCTGAATGAGTAGGAGAAGGCCATTTTCAAAAGAAAAGGGCTGGGGCATGGCTCCAGAAGCAGAGTGCCTGTCTAGGAAGTGTCAGGCCCTGAATTCAAACCCCAGTATCATTTTATATACATATATGTATACATCCTACTATTTAGAAAAATAAATTGAGACTAAACAGAGAAAAGAAGACCTGATCTTGGGGGTGGAGGGATAAGGAATTACTTTTATACAAGGATGTTTGAGGCACCTCTAAGAGACCCACATGGAGCCATGTCTAGTAGATGATTTTAAATGAAGAGCAGGTAAGAGGAAGGAAATTTAGGACTGAAAATAAAGATTATGGCAGAGGTACAGAGATAACTAAAAAAACCAAGAAAGCATAAATTCAAAGGCACAGACTGATACAAACCTTCTAAATGTTTGGTGAATGCATCAAGAATCATATTTGTAGCATTTGATCCAATAAATTCACTTCTATATTTTTATTCTAAAGAATGACTTAAATAAATACAATATGCACAAAGAGTAGTGTTAACAAAAATACGGACTTTTATCACAGCATTAATTCTACCCGAGAAAAACTGGAAACAGACTAAATGACTCCAAGACAGTAAGTGGATAGGTAAAATAGGATGCATCCATTTACTAGAACAGAATAAGGCAATTAAAAATCATGTATTCAAACACCTAATGACTGGCAAAACAATAAAACTATAAAAATATAAAGTAGGATGCAATATTGTGAAAATAATATAATTTTAAAAAGAAAAGTTATGACAAAAGTTATTATCATATAGACAGCATAGGAAATACTTAAGACTTACAGGATAAAAGGAAGAAGAAACTCCTTCAGGGAAGCAAAAGTAACTGGGCAGGGCTACAAATGCTCAGAATGAACTGACCAACAATTTTAACTGCCACAGAGAAGTACAGGAAAACATGGTCTGAGAAAAGGCCACCAATTTGGGCAGTCAGGAAGTCACTACTGATGTTCCAAAAAAGCCTGTATCACACATCCTTCTTTTTTTTTTACCTCTCTCTTTTCCCATATCCCTTACTCATCTCCATTTAGACAAGAAATTTTGGGGGGTTTGGGGAGGGATTCTTTTGTTTTATTGCAGGGCTGGGGATCCAACCCAAGGACTTGTGCATGCTAGGCAACCATTCTACCACTGAGCTACATTCTCAGTCCACTCTACTTAGAAAGGGCAGCTACTGGGCACCAGTAGCTCACACCTATAATCCTACCTACTGAGGAGGCTGAGATTGGGAGGTTTGAGGTTCAAGGCCAGTCCTGACAAATAGTTCGCAAGACCCCATCTCCAAAAATAACCAGAGCACAATGGATTGGAGGTGTGGCTCAAGCAGCAGGGCGCCTACCTATCAAGTGTGAAGCTACCAAGAAAATAAAAATAGAAACAAAGACTATTATACAAATACTGTGTAATGTCAGGTATTGTTATTCTAATGTAGCACATCTGTGTCAGTAATTGTGAATCAATGAAAGAGAATGGAAGATAATCTGATTCTAAGAGGCAACAGGTCATTTATGCATGCTCCTAGATGACATGATGTTACCCAATCTAAAAGTGCCACAGCAGGCCCTAAGTCCGATAGGTAGAGCTAGAGAAAGAGACAGGGTAACTGAGGGAGGCGAGCCACTCACTTGGCAGGCGGCAGGGACAACATCTTGTGCATGGTGGAGGTCATTCGATCTCTGCCCAGAGTGAAGGCATCCTTAGTCAGGGATACAGCTTCCTTGGTGAGGTCCATGGTGGCATGTAGAGCTTCCTTGGTGGCATCCTTGGTCATGTGAATAGCACTCGACAATTCTCCCTCAATATTCCTCAAGGGGATGGGCTCTCCCTGTCCATTCACAGCAGTATCCTTGCCAGCTGGGGATTTCAACACAGTTGTTGAGCTGGAGGCTTGGGCTCTGCTTAGTCGCTTGGCCTGTAGGGACTCAACTGCCTCATGGCCCTTCCTTGCTGGCTGCTGGGCAAGTGGACCTGAGTCCTGCAGTTCTCCATTGTTATGCAGCCTCTCCTGGCACGCATTGAGATTTTCAATGCTGCTGTCCTCCATCACCTTCTCAGGGCTTGCTGGGCCCTGGTCTGAAGAAGCATCAGACTTCAGCTCCCGATCCTCTGAAGGAGAAAACTCTGAATCTATTAGGCTGGTGGTATCCGAACCTGCAGAGTCAGCATCAGCAGTCCCAGGGGCAGGATGCATGAGCAGAGCCACCTCAGCACTAGGAAAGAGGACACCAATGCAAGCTGTCTGGTTCTGCAGGGGAGACCCAGTCATGGTCTCAGTATCTTTAGTCAACTGCTCCTGAAGCCTCTGCAGAACCTCCTTCAGACGGAGCAAGGCCAAGTACTGGTAGTGGTCAAGCCTCACACGGACATGGACAGGGGAGTGTACAAGCAGGTGAACTTCTGCTACATCCTCTGGCTCTGTCAGAGGCCCTTTGCTGTCCACACCACCACTGCCTTTTCCCACAATCTCCATGACTTCCGTAAGGCCTGACAGGCTTTTCAAATCATGCTCAGTCTTTGACCTTTGATGAGACCCAGAATCAGGGGCAAAGGTCTCAGACTGGACAGGACTGCCAAAGCTGGCTGACGGTTTTAGCTTCCCCTCTGAGGCCAAAAGGAGCTTCCGTGCCTGGGTTTGCTGCCAGCGGAGAGGCAGACAGGCCCAAATGGACAAGGGGAAAGGGGCCACAAAATTCAAGGTATGACCTTTGAAATTCTCTGTTCCTTCAAAGTCCAAGGAGATCTGAGTGAAGTGGATGGACCACAGATCCTGGGAAGCCTTTGGCCTCTGGGGAGGGAGGATACTAGGCTGAGGGGGATGGGAATCCATCTGGAAAGCATGATGGAAAAAAAGCATGTGCAAAAGGCTAAAGCCATCAGGAGCCTTGGGAAAGTGATCATAATTAGAATGAAAGAACTCAGCAGCAGCAAAACCCCGGAAGAGACTCTGGAGGTCTGGACAGCTACAATGTGGGGCGTGACGTGTATTGGTGGCAATCATTTCTGATGCAGAGAAGACCAGGGCCTGGGGACGATGCAACTCTGCCTGCTCTTTCTTCTGCAGTGGGAAGCTCACCTTCAAAGAGAAAATACAACACAATTCAGAATAGCCATCTGAGTATCTCAGCAACCCATCTTATATATATGTGAAAGACCATTTGGGCTGTGAAACTGTTTTTCTTATGTCCATCAAATGGACAGAGAAGAACTGTGGATTAAAGTCATGAGAAAAATGCATCTGTGGCTACCAACAGGGGACAAAAATCCCACTCTCTCCCTACCTTCAAACGGAAGGCATCCAGTCGCATGTCCAAGTGTTCATCTTTCTGCCTTGAATCTTCCAACTTGTAGATAGCTTTGAACTGCTCCAAGCTGCGATATAAATCTAGGCAGAAGAGGTTTCCCCAGAGCAAGCTGACAGAATCCACAGTAAATGTCAGGCCATTCAACTGAATGTACAGATTGGGACAGGGAACTGAAAAGCAAGAGAAAAAAATCATCAAGTTTGGAGCAATAGCTAGGCTCTTACCAGCTAATATTTATTTTGTTATCAAAAGATCAAAGATAAACATGTTTACAAGGCAGAGATTTTAACAAAGGTTTGCAAAATTAACTCACTTAAAACTTGTAACAACAAATGAAACTATACATAGTGTCCTCAAGGCTGACAAAGGTGAAGAGCATGAGCTATACAGAAGAAAAGGCCAGGCCATATGCTCACCTGGAAGCTCCTGATTATCTGGAAAGTAATACTCTGTGAACTCAACATGAATGGCAGAAACCTGAGCAGGTAGGTTATGGAGCTTCCGGCTGCAGGAAAGGAGTGTAGATGGCTTCTTGCTTGGTTGTCCAGCTGTGGAAACCTAAGCAATCACAACTTACTATTAGCATCTACAGAAGCATCCAGAATAGAACTCAATTCCTGTGAAGAGTCCCCCATCCTCCCTGCCACAGGAAGCACAGTGCTTTTCACACATAGTTCAGGCATTCTCACACCTGCCTCCAATTATCCACAAGTTAGTGTTTTTAGCAGGAGGTTGTAGTACAGCATTCACAGAAAACTGAGAGAATCCCCACGTCTACTCCATGCTCCAGAAGAAACAGACCAAATGTCAATCTACTCAGAAGTGAGCCAAATGGCCCCTGAATGCCACAACTTTGTTCTTCTTGTTCTAGCTGCCTTCCAAGTGAACTGTTCCACCCCTTTCCAACCTGGTTTCCCCATGTCCTCACCTGGTGGATGTCCAGGTCATCCACTCGTACAACCATGCAGCTAGAGCGTAATCGATTCCATACTGGAGGCCGAAAGGCAGTCTGTCGGCCCTGGGAGGGGCTTCTCTCCACAGAGTTCTTTCGAGGACTACAGAGAGAATCTAAATAAAAATAAGAAGGTGGGGCAGGGGGTGGCTGGTGGAGTGGCTCAATTGGTAGAGCACCTGCTTAGCAAGCATGAAGCATGAATGAGGTCTTGAGTTCAAACCCCAATACTGCCCCCAAACAGTAAATAAGTAAATAAGAAGATGGGAAAGGGAAGTAGATACATTCAACTTTCACTATTAATAGAATTAAGAAAGTAAAAATCCTTAATACCATTAGTGCTATATGTAGATAAGGGATCTTAACACTGTATGGAATCAAAACATATTCTCCTTAAGACTTAGATAACACCCTCCTGACAGAGATGATGACAACTTCCCTTTAACATTAGCTATCCCCGTGAACAAAGTGGACTCTCACAAGAAAAACCCACTGATGTCACACCATGGGAAACAGTTGGGTTGATTAGATCTGCTTTATCTCACTGGTTAGCGAAGGTAAAAGGCAAGAAGCAAAGCAACGAGTCTTCCAGTTCCTCATAACTTACCTGCTTTCCTCCGGAAGGAAGCATCCACCCCCAGATGCCAGGGTGGCTTCAGACCTGTCTCTTCATGCCACTTGTCCATTTCACTCTGAAATTCCATCACCAGCTTCTGGGCCCATTGGCCTCGGGTCTCCATGGCCTCACAGTGCCGCACCCAATGTTTGCAGCTATCACCTGTGCAACAAGGAAGCAAGAAGATTTTAGCTCAAAATCATAATCCAATGTTCCAATTTTTCCTTCCTGTTAGTAGAGTCACAGCTCAGAATCTGCTCCTGTCCCCAGTCTAGAATTCTCTAGGAAAAGGACAAATTATCCACTGAGCGCTCTCAATTTTTTCTGGACTTATTAAGTGATTTTCCCCTAAGGATCCCTAAAGGTCAGCTGCTGATGCCTGCCATCTTTGCGGACTACTGGAGACATTCTAAACCTAGTGGAGATAAGATAAGAGGCTGACGTTAGAATCTAAGGCAAAATCTCAGGCACTGCCTCCCCTCCCCTCCTCCTCTCATCAGTCGCCAATCATGGACCATCCAGGTTTCCAGAAGTCATCCTCTTGAACAATATTCCCAACACCTCTCTGAGACTGGGATGCAATCTCTGACACCCACTTTCTGGTTAGTCAGGAATGAACCCGGGAATCCACCCTCAATATTCTGGGCCATGCTAGAACTGACTCCATTCATATTTCTCCTAACCTGCCCAGTGGAAGGGATAGTAGTCAAATGCCATCTTGCGGAAGGTAAGCTGCATGGCACCACCCATGAGTCTGTTTGCAGAGATACCTATGGGAGAAAATACTGGTGAACAGCACTGGAAGGAAACGGAAGCCTAACCACCACTTGAAGCACTTAGAAAATCTCTGGAGGGCCAGCTCCAGATACGGTGATACCATCAAGCTGAAAGACAATGATGCCCAGTGACTTGCAAGGCTGCAGTGCCTTTTTTTTTTTTTTTTTTTTTTTTTTCCCAATATTGAGGTTTGAACTCAGGGCCTCATGCCTGCTAGGCAGGCACTCTACCACTTCAGCCATTCCACCAGTCCTTTTTTGTATTGGGTATTTTCAAGATAGGAGCTTAAAAATTATTTGCCCAGGCTGGTCTCGAATCGAGATCCTCCTGATCTCTGCCTCCCAAGTAGCTAGGATTACAGGCATGAGCCACCAGTGCCCAGCCAGCCCTCCCCTTTTGAGTTGCAACACCAATGGACATGTTCTAAAAGGTCAAAAAAAAAAAAAAAGTATATTCCATCGTCTCTATAAATGACTGTAAGATTTCCAGAAAGGCAAAAGAAATAGAAAAACTCATGATTCAGGAATTGTAGTGCTAGGTTTCCCACAGACATACTCCACTATCTTGACTAACTGGTTCACCCAACTCTAACAATCCTAATAGTACTGCTGTCCCTGAACACAAAACATGGAAAGGTGTAAGCCAGATTTCTCAAGAAACAAAACTCGTATTGCTTCCTCTCACGTTCTGCCTCAGAGCTAACACTACAACATTAGATACTCATTACATTGTACATACAAAGTACCGTGGAATGCTAAAAAGTATGCACAGAGACATTATAAAAACATAAAATATTGTAGTAAACTGGAATTTTTAGCAATAAGTCAAATACTACATTATGTTTCTCTTGAATTTACATATAATTCTTACTAATGAACTTTTTATATGCTTCTATCTTATCTCTCCAGTTAGACTAAAGAACTGTAACAGCAGGGACAATTTCTCCCATGCATGTGTTATCTGACCCACGCTGGCCCTACCAGTGTATCTAGCATGAAGCTTAATAAAAACTGCATGCTATGGAAAGATGAGGGAAAACCACAGAAAGGAGAAAGGAAATGCCATGGAAACTTCTAGCCATAAGCTGGTATGCCTTCAAAAAGTAGGTCACTCCACCCAATCTAGATTTTATCATCCCAAGTTCTAGACTAACCATCCCCCTATACCAAACTTTCTGGTTTTTGGTTTTGGTTTTGGTTTCTGAGATAACAGTGTCACTATGTGGCCCAGGCTGGCCTCAAATCCAGGATCCTCCTGCCTCGATCTTCCAAGTACTGGGATCACAAATATGAGTCACCATTTCTGGTCTCAACCATTTTTTTGGTTTTTTTGTTTGTTTGTTTTGGTTTGCTTTTTGTGGTATTGGAGCTTGAACTCAGGGCCTTCACCTTGAGTCACTCTGCCAGCCCTTCTTTGTGAAGGGTTTTTCGAGACAGGGTCTAGTGAACTGTTTGCCCAGGCCGGCTTCAAAGCATGACCCTCCTGATCTCTGCCTCCTGAGTAACTAGCATTACAGGCGTGAGACACTGTCACGCGGCTCCTCAATAATTTTTTCATAATGTCGCCCATGCCCCCCCCCATCCCCCATGACCCCCATGGAGTTTTTTAAGCATTTTTTTAACTTTTTTCACCCACCTTATGAAATTTTAATATCATGGATCTGTATCTTATGTGATATATATGTATATATGCTTACACATTTAAAAAGTATGTATAAAGCTTCTCTTTAAAAATCAAAAAAAAATAAAGCTTCTCTTTTTTTAAATCTAGGGCTAAGAAACACTAAATAATTTTTAAGTTTAAATATTTTTAAGTTATTGGCATTTAACTTAAATTTAATACTATATTTACTGATAATGTTAAGTGTGATTATTTACATATGTATAACAATTTTTCAGATAGGGTCTAGTGTTATTGCTCTGGCCAGCCTCAGACCACAGTCCTCTTACGTCTGCCTTCCACTCCAATACCTAGAATTACACCCCACATAGTTTACTTATACAAATTGTAAAATATCAAATTAGTTATGCAAGTTATCAATTTATATAAATATATAATAGCAATAACAAATTATTCAAAATTATTTCAGCAAAAGGAAAATAACTGGAACTTCTTAATTTCTTAAAATTATGTTAGTGAACTTAATTTTTAATTTCTCCTTGACATAAGAAAATAACTTTTAAAGCTAGGTACCAGACATTCATTCAGATATTGTCAACATTTTTTCTTTTTATAAATTAATAAAGGGTTGGATAACTTTTTAAAGAATTAAGTAACAAAACAAACTATTTTCATTAAATTTTCAAAGATTAAATCACAAAAGTACTGAGGATCACACATAAATAATTAGCAAGCAACCAACTGCAGCCATCTCTTGCCATATAACTTTGAGACTGGCAACAGATTAAAAAAATAGTCCACTAATCACACCCATTTATTTGCCACATCATAGCACTCACTGCTCTTTCATACAACGTGGGTACTATCCATGAACTCAAAGTCAATGCTGCTTGTGCAATACTCAAGAAAACCTCATGAGAGATATTAAATACTAAGGAATACAATTTCGTCACATAGGCTGAAGTTTTGAAAGGCCACAAAGCCACAAATGACTGCTATTTCTAAGATCTCCCTATCCCTGAAACCAGTTTTCAATATCCATATAACGCTTTCTCCCCAGCCTTCCCCAAGGGCAGATGTAGTAGTGCCTCTGTCTCATTTTTTCTTATTTTCTCCCCTTTTTCTCTTTGTTCCTCCTTCTCACACTAAAAAAAACAAAAAAAACCACAGTACCACCTCAAGCCAAGCTGACCCCCATGGCCCATACAGTTTCCAATCATTTCCCCCCTAATAGCAAGGGGTAGGCGAACATGTTAACAGTACCAACATCAGATGTCTCAGTGACAAAAGAAATATGTGTTACCTTCAAGTCATCTTTATAGCAGCATTGTCCTAAAGAACTTTCTATGATGGACATGCTCAATGGTTTATAGAATATATCGAGTACCTGAAATGTGGTTAGTGCAAATGAAGAACTAATTTTAACATCATTTTAATTTAAATAGCTACATATGGCTAGTGGCTACCACTAGTAGACAAAGAATTATAGAGCAATAATATAATATAATAGCAATATAATGTATAATGTAAAATGTATAATAGCAATAATAGCAATAAAATGTGAGCCACATAAATATTTTTAAATTTCTAACAGCTACATGAACAAAATGTTTTAAAAAGTGAAATTCAGCTGGGAGCTGGTGGCTCACACCTGTAATCCTAGCTACTCAGGCAGAGATATGGAGGATCATGGTTCAAATCCAGCCTGAGCAAACAGTTCCCAAGACCATACCTCAAAAAATACCCAACACAAAAAAGAGCTGGTGGAGTGGCTCAAGTGGTAGAGTATCTGCCTAGCAAGCGAGAGTTCCTGAGTTCAAACCCCAGTACTGCCAAAAAAAAAAAAAAAGTAAAATCTATTTTATTTACATTATTTAAACCCAGACATGATCATTTCAACATGTGATCAATATGAAAGTAATTACTGAATGAATTTACACTTTTTCCATAGCATCTTTAAAATCTGCTGGGCATTTTACAAGTGCAGAACATCTCAATTTGGATCAGATACACTTCAATTGACCAATACACGCAGCTGGTGACCACTGCATTACACAGAACAACTCCAGAGAATCTTTATGTACTACTTAGTTTTCCCTTCCCTTCTCCCTCCAAATCCAAGTGGAAGAATTCTTCCTGTCCTTTGCCCATTCACAGAATATGGTCAGTTAGGCATTATCCCCATATTTTAAAATATCTCACCCAAAGCTTCCTGAAATTACACCATGTAGGGTAATTTAAAACAAATGGTAAGGCTACAGTCACATCTTAGCATGGATTACAGGGCCCTGGCACTTACAGAGTACAGTGCTACAAACTCTTTTTAATAAGCAGTACAACAAAGCTCTCAGTTATGCTCTCTTAATTAAGAATTCTGAGAGAATTAAAAACAAAACAAAACACCCAAAGTCTTTAGATAACACTTGGAAGAAATAACTACAGAAAATAATAATTGTTTTAGTAACAAACTCCCAAAATGAGTGGGTGGCCAATTACTTCCTGTGGTGGCAAAAGCCATCTTTATGCTCTCTTTGCTCTTTTCTTTCCTCTCAGAATGGGAGTTGAGGGTTGGAATCACTTTAAGACCAAAGAATAGCCAAACAGGAGAACAGTGTTGTTTGGTGCCCCAGGAAGAAATGAAAAAAAACCTTACAAAAAAATAGGTAAGTCTCCCACAGAAACTAAATCTGGGTCTCATTCAGAGGCAAATATGCGGCCAGGGGGATAGCCTAGTGGTCTAGCATGTGTAAGGCCCTAGGTTCAATCCCCGGTACTGAAAAAAAAATTGAGAGAAAGTATGATAGGTAGTTCTACTGTGCCCTAAGGGCTGAACACTGCCTCACACTACCAGAAAGCAACATCAGGAGGGTTGAGGCCCAAGCAACCAACTCCTGTGATTAAGGAAAGACAACCAAAGGACTCCACAGTGTCTCTGAAAAAGAACCTTCCTCCCAGGTTTTGCCCAAAGCTAGACAGTGATGTGGGCATCCAGCCTTGGTTTAGGCCTCACAGGGCAGGTACCTGGCTCTCCAGACTGGCTGTCATCACAAATGTGCAGGTCCAGGCGGGAGATAAGGAGATGGTAGGAGGACTCTTTCACATCAAATTTCTCAAAGTACTGGCTGAGGCGGCTGCTGCTGTTACTACTGTTGCCTTGGCTGCCACTGAATGCCTGAGCCCAAGTCTGCTGGGCACTGGGAGCAGGTGGAGTGATCTAAATGTCACAGAGAGAAAAATAAGTCCAGATCCTGAGAGGCTCCTTCACAGACTTTCTTTAAACTTTAGCCCAGTCTGAATAAAACTACAGTTTAGAAAGATGTTCCTTCCCTCTCATTAGTGTTTGCCTAGTAGCTCACTTATCTCTGTCCCAACTAAACAATCCAAACTGCAAGAAGCCTCATTGTAATTAGTCTAGTGACTGTTGGAGTACTCTTCTCAGGTTTGAATTGCCTTCTAAGTTCTCTCACCCACCGGGAATTCTCTGACTGCTGCTAAAATATCTCCTCTAGGAAGTCTTCCCTGAGTGCTCTTTTAGATGCAACCATACACGCTTTTTATGGTAGAACTGGGGTTTGAACTCAGGGCTTTGTGTTTGTAGAACAGGCTCTTGACCACTTGAGTCACATCTCTAGTCCATTTTGCTCTGGTTCTTTTATTTATTTGCTGATGGTACTGGGGTTTGAGCTCAGGGCATGCTTGCTAGGCAGGCACTCTACCACTTGAGCCACTCTGCCAGCCCTTTTTTGTGTTGAGTTTTTCAAGATAAGGTCTCACAGACTATATGGCAGGGCTTGCTTTGAATCATGATCGTCCTGATCTCTGTCTCCTAAGTAACTAAGATTATAGACATGAGCCCCTGGCACCTGGCTGCTCTGGTTATTTTGGAGATGGGTTCTTACCATTTACTTGCCTGGGCTGGCCTTGAGCCACTATCCTACCAATGTGAATCTCCCAAACAGCTATGATTACAGGTGTGAGCCACCAGTGCCTGGCTAGATGCCCCTTCTTTGTGTTCTCATGGCATATAGCATTTACCACACCATAACAACTTATCTATGGTCCATTGTTCAAGACTGTGAGAACAGCCCCAAGGACAGGAATAAGAGGCTTATTCTACTTTTCCTCTTCAGCTGCTAATACTGTGCTACACAAGGAGCAGAATAAATGAAATGAGGGGTGGTTGAGTGGCTAAAGTGATAGAGCACCGACTACCAAGCCTAGTTAAGTCTAGCTAAACCTAGCAAGTGTGGCCCTGAGTTTAAGCCCCAGTACAACTTTAAAAAAAGAAAAAAAAGAAGAAGAAATGAAATATTCTTTCATTTTTGAAACAATAAAGTCTGTGAGACCTTATCTTGAAAAATTCAACACAAAAAAGGGCTGGCAGAGTGGCTCAAGTGGTAGAGTGCCTGCCTAGCAAGCATGCCCTGAGCTCAAACCCCAGTACCACCAAAAAGAGGGTGCAAGGACATCCAAAGTAAGTGACAAGATTTGGAATACCATAGCTTGAGGCCAACCCAGGCAAATAGTTCACAAAACCCCATTTCCAAAATAACCAGAGCAAAATGGACCAGAGATGTGGCTCATGTGGTAGAGCACCTGCTTTGCAAACACAAAGTCCAGAGTTCAAACCCCAGTCCCACCACCATAACAACAACAACAAAAAAAGGTAAATAACAAATCCACCAAATAAGCCAAATAATCTTGATTCCACCTATTTGGTATAAATTAGTCTGGCCTACTGTTTCCTCTTCCACACTAAGTGTATCCGTGTTGTCTCCAACCTGCACAGGTTCAGGAGCCAGGCTCTTTCTTTGCTGGGCTGACTTCTCCATGGCCTCACTCAGTGACTCAGCGTACTTCATCATAGCTTTGAGCTGTGAGTCGGTCAGCACCCAGAGCAGGTCATCCAACAGGAACATCAGCTTGGAGGCTATCACATTGCAGTCTTTGGTCTGAGGGCCCACAGAGAACAGGTTTACCACCTGTCATCATTTCATGTCTCAAAGTGACTAGCGCCCAGTTTGGGAGCAGCAAGTACTTTAGAAGCCTATTTCTTATAAAACTACCCAAGTTTGCTTGATTAACAAAAAGCAGCAAAGTCAACTGTGAGGTGCTTTATGTCAACATACCTATATATAGATAAAAATCATGGTTTCCACATTTAAAAAAACAAGGAAGTGGAAATGTTGCAGGCCCACCCCCTACAGCTGTCATTCCAGGGGCCAATAATATGCCAAACAATGAGAGAACACTAACTCCTCACCTATCTAGAAGAATTAAAGACAGACGTTTTCATGAGGACAGAAAACACACTCACTCTTCTCTTGAGGGCTATTTGGATCCTGCCTTGGTTAGTAATAAGCCTCAGCGGGGTAGTGACTGGGTCATCACCATTGTCTGTAGCGTCTGCCTCAATTCGAAGTGTCTGCCAAGTTATTTCCTTAAATGTTAAAACCTGGAAAGAGAAAGTAAAATTCCTTAATTCTAGCGATGAAATTAACCAAGAGGCAAAAAGTCTAAAGGAAAAAGCCTAGGAAGGCAGAGCCACACACCATTCCCAGCTGGGGTCCTAACAATAGAAAGCAGTGGGTCTGAGAGCTGCAGTGGAGGGAAGGATGTGGCAGTAATAACAGATAGAAAGAGTTGTGTGGTTCCTACAAATGGGAACCACTTGAGGAAGTCTCCAAAGCGGGAATAACAACGTTTAATGATTTCTCCTACTTTGAATCCCTCCATTCTCTCCCCCTTAAAATGCTAAAGCTGTCACCTCTCCTCGGCGGGGATCAGTGATGCGCGTCAGATGAAGATCACTCTGCTGCCAGTTGGGGTTGACACTGTAGCCTTGGAGCTGCCACAGTTGAAAAGAAGCATGGAAGGCCTTGGCGTGAATCTTGATGGTGATGGAATTGATGATGATAAACATCCCCTCCACCACCTTCTCCGCAAAGCCATACTCACTGCAACAAGTGAGGCAGACCAGCGATCAGTCTCGAGAGGCTTTACGCAGACTTTATGCTAGAAGACATCAGACTAAGCGACTGCATGCCAGAAGTGTGAATGCTTATTTTTATTTATCTGCTTTGTTCCTTTTATTTTTAAATTTCTAAACTTTAGGGCTGAGAGCCTGGCTCAAGTGGTAGGGCACCTGCCTGGCAAGCACAGGCCCTGAGTTTAAATCCCAATACTGCCAAAAAAGAAAAAATTCCATGTTTTTAGTGATGATAAAGTATTTTTCAATGAGTTTCTTTAAAGAATAGAATAAAAAAGAGTTGAAGTGGAAACAATTCTTCTATTAGAAAGAATAAACTGAGAACTCTATTTATAGCTCACAAACTACCTTAATGTTTAGATATTATCTGTGGGGAGAGGCATAACTACACAAAGGCACTAAGTTTCTATAAAATCTTCAAAGATAAAGAATACTCTGCAAAGGGAGGGGGAAGATGAAAGAAGTGCAGCCAGGTGAGTAAGAGGTTTAACATTGTGAAATCTACTCAAGAACGACCCACCTCTACCCTGCCAAATACTTCCCAAAAAGCAACACTTCCCCAGTGAGCAATCGGAGATGGCAGAAGGAGAAGAACAAAGGACATCTTAAAACCTCGCTGGCCACTGAAATGGAAGTGGAGTCACTTCTAATTACAAGAGAGAAAAAGGAGATCTGGAAATTCAATCTGAAAATTTATTCACACAGGAATAATAAAAGGACCAAAAGGCCCCAAATGGGACAAAGTATAAGCAGTTCACAGAAAAACAAATGTAAGTAGTATACAGAATGATGCTCAACCTCACTCATAAATCAAAACAACAGAGAGGTTGAGGGCGTAGCTCAGTGGTAGAATACTTGCCTGGTGTGCCAGAGACCATGGGTTTGAGTCCAACAACGAAAAATAAACAAATAAATAAGGAAATAAATTAAATTAAAAACCCTTCTCCAAGAATCACTTGATTTATAACAAAGGTTATAGTGCCTTAGAAGATTTTTTTTTCTTGGCAGTACTGGGGTTTGAAGTCAGAGCTTCTCACTTGCTAGGCTGGCACTGTACTGCTTGAGCCACATCTCCAGCCCAAAACATCTTTTCAATAAATGGCACATGGTCAGTTTGGGGATATCTATAAGGAGAAAAAGTAATATTGACCTTTATCTTACATCAAACAACAACAAAAAGATCAGTTTCAAAATGGATCAGAATCTAAAGATGAAAAGTCAAACAACTGTACTTGTAGACAAAAACATCTTCATGCTTTAGAACAGGAAAAAAGACTCCTTAAACAAGGCATAGAAAGTGCCAGCCATTAGGGAAAAAATATATAGAATGGACTATATTAGAATTCCTAATTTCTTTTCAACAACAAAAAAGAGAGGAGGAAGAGGAGAGGAGAGGAAACATAAAAGAGAGCATGCATGAGTAATAGGAAGTCAGTGGCCAGTGGCTCACCTCTATAATCTTAGCTACTTGGGAGACTGAGATTGGGAGGATCGAGGTTCAAAGCCAATCCTGGGCAAATACTTCACAAGACCCCATCTCCAAAATAACCACAGCAAAATGGACTGGAGGTGTGGCTCCAGTGGTAGAAAGCCTGCTTTGCAAGCATGAAGCCAAGCTCAAAACCCAGTCTCACAAAAAAAAAAAATAAATAAATAAAAAAGAGCAACAGGAAAGGTTGGATGGTACAGCATTTGCTTAGCAGGTGTGAGGTCTTGTATTCAATCTGCAGCGCTAACCTCCCCCCCAAAAAAATAAACAAGAATAACAACAACAAAAAGAGTGATATGAACCAAGCACTGGTGGCTCACGCTTATAATCCTATCTATTCAGGCAGCAGAGATCAGGAGGCTCTCAGTTTGGACAAATAGTTCTTGAGACCCTATCTTGAAAAAACCCATCACAAAAAAGGGCTGGTGGAGTGGCTCAAGGGGTAGGCCTTGAGTTCAAGCCTCAGTACTGCAAAAAAAAAAAAAAAAAAAGGAATAAAGTATCATTTGTTTGTTGCATAAAAGTGTGGCTTATACAACCCTAAAAACATGTTAAGTGAGGGAGGCCAGTCACAAGAGACCACTAGTCACTAGAGACTACTAGTGTGCATGGTTCCATTTATAGGAAATGCTCAGGATAGACATAGAAAGTAGATTAGTGGTGGCCTACAGTCAAAGCAGGGGAAATAAGGAGTAACTGATAGATGTGGGGTTTCTTTTGGGGTGATGAGACTGTTCTAAAAGTGTGGTCATCACCACATTCCAGTAAACATAGGGGAAAAAAACACTGAATTATATAGTTCTAACGGAGGAATTTTATAGTACATGAATTATGACTCAATAAATCTGTTTTTTAAATATGCTGGCAAAATCCTAAGACACTTACGAGCAAGATCATTTAATGCTACACCATTTGGAATAGCAAAAAAGCTGGAAAAACCCAAATATCCATACATAGGCAACAGGCCAAATTAGCCATGGTGTCTCCATAAAATAAGCATATGCTGCAGGTATAAAAAGGAGCAAAGAACACCTCCCTAATACTTCTCTAGGGTGACTGCCATGATATGCTTTCTTTTCTTTTTTCAGTATTGGGTTTGAACTCAGGCCCTCATGCTTGCCAGGTAGGTACTGTACCACTTAGCTATGTCCCCAGCCTGTTGATATTTATCTTTAATGAAAAAAGGAATGTGAAAAAAAGTGCCTATGATGTGCTATATTTTGTGTAAGAAAATGGATGGGGACAATACATACATGCATATATGATGTTCCTTATGATATAGTGGTAATATAAACTATATACTATAGTTAAAAATGAATTTAAAAGTTAAAAATAAATGAACTTTCTATATGTCAAATTGGTATTTCATCATACAAAAAGTGATTTCAAGTGACCTTAAAACATGAGAGAGGTTGTTTTATTTTGTTTTTGGGTGTTTTTGAGGTTGGCCTTGAGTTCACTGTATCACTATATAACCCAGGCCAGACTTGAACTCCCAGCCTCTTGCCTCTACCTCTTGAGCGTTGAGATTACAAGCATGAATCACCATACCCAGCAAAACATGGTATTTTGACCATACATCCCTAATGTAATACCTTACAGGCTAAAACACACAACACACCACACACACATCTCCTTCATTCATTCAGTATTTTATTGATAGATAGAATATTGGTTTTGCTATTTTTGAAACTATCAAAAACTAAATCATTTATTGTATTATTATTGTTAGGACCAAGATTCAATATATGAATAAAACATACAAATATTAGCCTAGGAATTGTGGTACAAAGCTGTAATCCCAGTTACTCAGGAAGCAGAAATCAGGAAATATGTCAAGGCCAGCCTAGGCAAAAAGTTAGCAAAACCCCATCTCAACCAACAAGCCAAGTATGGCGTTGTATGCCTGCAATCCCAGCAACTGGGAGGCATACATAGGATGATCATAGTCCAAGGCTGGTCTTGGGGGAAAAAATGAGATACTATCTGAAAGTAATGAAAGCAAAAAAAAAGCGTTGGGGGCATAGATCAAGTGGTAGAGCACCTGCCTAACAAACATGGGGCCCAGAATCCAAAGCCTAGTACCACTGCAAAAAAAAAAAAAAAAAAAGTAAATGTAAATAGTAGCATGGTTCAAGTGGTAGAGCACTTGAGCACAAGGCCCTGAGTTCAATCCCTAGTATTACCAAAAAAAAAGTAAATTTAAGCACAGGATATAAAAATGTAAAAAGAATATAAAATATAAAAAGCATAAAAAATGGTAAACTAGAAAAGTTTAAGTTTCTTAAAAAGGTAACCTCTCCCTTACCATATCACCCAACCATTCCACTCCCAGGTATTACCCCAGAGAAACAATAGCACATGACAACACAAAGGCTTTTACATAAATGTTCACATCCACTGGAGTCACAATAGCCAGGAAGTGGAAATAAAACGAGCATCAACAACTAAATGGGTATATTCTGTATAATGGCTATAACTCAGTGCAATGGCCTAAATGTCTTTGCTCCCCCAGAAATTCCTCCTGGCCCGTTAAGAACATAAGATACAGAAGTACTTACAGGTAAAATAATGACATTTGGGATGCTTTCAAATACTACAATGCACATAAAGTGGCAGAAGAAAGATGAGAAAAATGGAAAAATGGCAAATGTTGAAGTTAGATACCGGGTACATTGGGGCTCATTACACTATTCTACTTCAGTGAATTTTTTTAAATTTCTATAACTAAAAGTTTTACTTTGAGCCAGGTGTGGTGGTGCCTGTAATCCCAGCACTCAGGAGGCTAAGGAAGGACAGTCAAGACCAGCCTGGACTACACAGAGAATTCCAGGCCAAAGAACATTAGAGACCTTGTCTTAAAAAAAGTAAAAAGGAGTTTTATCTTTAACCAAAAATGTGATGTGGAGCAGTTAGTATGTTGGAAATAACAGGGCTCGAAGCAACTAACCTCTGTCCTGAAGCAAGAGCAATGGGAGACTGTCCGTTGGGAGGCCGAGGCTCCTCACAAGTCTTCATCTCCACCTCTACCTTATCGAGACACTGGAATAAAAGCCATGTGGAGCTTAGCATCAGCACACACACCAGACAGCACACATTGTGTGCTGACTGTCACCCAACAGTCAACACGAGCTAAACTCTTCCTGTCGGATTCCAAGGGAAAACAGGGAAAGTGTAAGGACAGAGCCCAGTCAGCAAAAAATCAGTATTTAAAAAGAAAGGGGCGGGAGGTGAGGGGAGGGAAGAGAAGGGAGAAAGAAAAAAAAAAAAAAGACATTCAGGAGTTCTGGGCCTTGCATCTCAGTGCTAATTCCTATGCTACAAAGCAGTTCCAGAGTAAGCCCAAACAATCACTGTCTCAGAGTGGTTCCCCAGGCCATAAAGAAGTACCACCACTCCCAAAAGGGTCAGCCTGTTGGACTCCTCCATCTTCTTTCTTATCTTATAAAAGCAGACCCCACTTGTGGGAGGGGGAAGGGAGCATGGAGGAGATAAAGGTGAGAGAGTATGGTTGATGGGCTTCATATATATATATATACAAAATAGAACAACGAAAGCTCATGCAATTGCTTTAAGTAAGGTGGGAAGGGAGTTAGGGGGGAGGGTGACAGGAGTGATCTAACCAATGTACAATGTAAGCCTATTCGGAATTATCACAATGAATCCCCTCTGCACAACAAATATATCCTAAGGAAAAAAAAAACAAACAAACAAAAAACTGGCAGAGTGGCTCAAGTGGTAGAATGCCTGCCTAAAAATGAAAAAAAAGAGCACACTCCGATTTGCAAGACCCTATTTTGAAAGCGCCAACACAAAACAGGGATGGTAGAGTGACTCAAGTGGTAGAGCTCCAGCCTAGCTCCTACTAAGTTCAAATTCCAGTACCACCAAAAACAACAAAAAGCATACCCCAGCCCTCCCATGTGATTACTTGCAATCAAGAAAGGCCATTACCAAGCAAATTGGGTGTGTCTTCAACTTTGTCCACTGAATCTGAAAGAGGAAAGCAAAGACTCAGGGCTGTGGAGGTGCCTCTCAGGAAGGCAGGACTGCTGGCCGAAGACAGCAGCGTCACTCTCATCCCCATTCTCACCCGGATGGAGGCCCTGTTGCAGTAGACTCGAGTGATGGCTAACCAGGTAGGCAGCTCCAGCACATTCTGTAGAACCTCTTCATCTAGCTCCAGGTTGGTCAGCTGACCCTCCCCTTTCAGGGTGCTCAAGTTGATTTTGTCTGGGGAAAGATTCTTCGTGAACCTGAGGAGTGATGATAAGAAGTTGTTATTTCCATGGGAATCTGTCAGTAACACTCGTGAACTTGGAGAAAAGGTATTGACTATGCCATGAGGGATATTAATTGAGACTTACTATTCTACTTAGGATTGTCACCAACCTACATATAATCCTACAATGGGGATTCTGAGGAGAAGGCTCTAGCAGTGGAACCTATCATTTTGGTATTTCTGCATCCCCACATATAGACAGAGCAACAAAACAGCAACACAAACAGCCCGTGGATCACATTTAAAAGAAAACTGGAAGATAAAGTATTCTCATAAGTTTTGTATACAAGAAAGTGAGTAAAACATAACCAGCCACAAAACAGGAATGCTATAAGCAGATGTGCAGAACCAAGGAGAGGGAGGCAAAAAGGCAGCTGATGAGCCTGATAACAGAAGAACCCCACAATAACCAGCAAATATTAAACAAAAGCAATGTGCACCAACCTAAGAAAGGCAACTGAAATTGGGAGGGATTTTGTCCACTGCAAAGGGTCTCAAGTAAGGCTCCAAGGAACTGGGACAGTCTAGTTCTATAAACTCAAGAAACTAAACTTTCTAAAGGTTCTTCCTAGCTGGGCATGGTGACTCACACCTGTAATCCCAGCTATTTGGGAAACATTGGGAGATTCATGGTTCAAGGCTAACATGGGCAAAAAGTTATCAAGCTCCCATTTCAATCAACAAGCCAGCTGTGGTGAACTACATCTGTAATCCCAGGAGAATCATAGTCAGAGGCCAGTCTCAGGCAAAATCATGAGACCCAATCTGTAAAATAACTAAAACAAAAAGGGCTGTAGACATGGGTCAGCTGTAGACCACCTGCCTAGTAGGATAAGGCCTTGAGTTCAAACCCTAGTACCATTAAAAAAAAAAAATCAAATAAATAATGATCCCTCCTAGCAAAGCCTCCCACTGAAAAAGAACCAAAATTGAGTAAAATAAAGATGACAGAAACTAAGAAAAGAGATGGTCCAAATAAAAGTAGAGACTGGGAAACACACCAGAATATTTCAAAAAAGCAAATCACTGTATCTTTTTTTTTTAACACTACTTAAAGCAACAGAAGAGGGAGTGCTTTAGGATACAAAACAGGAAAGGCTACACACTAACAGGCTGAGTACTAAGTATTCTACCATAAAGCTATAGTGCCGGCTGAAACAAAATTTTCTTTTCAGCAGTACTGGGGTTTTCTCCTTCAAACCCCTTGTTTTTGAATGAAGCATTGTGTTTGTTTTCTCCTACATCCCTAGCAACTCTTCCTCTACTCTGAAGAGTTTAGGGGAGCCCCATCAACTCAGAAATTGAGGCCTGGCATCTTTCAAAAGTATGAGTCAAAGATGAGAATTTTTAAACAGACATAAAATTAGGTTTAGGAATACAACTATTTGTCTCTCAATCTCCCTGCCCCTCTGAAGATTCTGGTAACACTCCACCTCTCAACCCTGCTGAGAATAGTGGTAGGAGTGAGTCATTCAGGAATGGGAATAAGATTCCTTTGGTACAGGGACAATCAGACTGAGTCCACTAAAAAAAGCTGCTCTTCCTTATGATAAGAAACTTTTTTTTTTAGAAACTAAAGCAGATACCTTAAAAGCAACTGAGGCCAATAGGAAAAGGGGACCAGGAACTACAGAAAAGGTTAGATCAAAAAGTATTAACCTAGAAGGTAACACACACGCACAGGAAATCAATGTGTGTCAATGCCCTGTATAGCTATCCTTATCTCAACCAGCAAAAACCCTTGCTCCTTCCTATTATTGCTTATACTCTCTCTACAACAAAATTAGAAATAAGGGCAAAATAGTTTCTGCTGGGTATTGGGGGGGGGGAGAGGGAGGGGGCGGAGTGGGTGATAAGGGAGAAGGGAGAAATGACCCAAGCCTTGTATGCACATATGAATAATAAAATTAAAAAAAAAAAAAAGAAACTTTTTGTTTTGGTGGTAGTGGGGTTGGTTTTTTTGTTTTCAGTACTGGGGCTTGAACTCAAGCCCTTCACCTTGAACCACTCCACCAACCCTTTTTTGTAAACGGTTTTCGAGATAAGGTCTCTCAAACTATTTGCCCAGGCTGGCTTTGAACCTCAATCCTCCTAATCTCTGTCTCCTGAGGATTACAAACGTGAGCCACCAGTGCCCAGCTAGGAAGAACCTAGCTAGCCCGGCTTGGTTTATCTTTTGAGACAAGAGTCTCACAATTTAGCTCAGTCTGGCCTTTTGGCAGTACTAGGGTTTGAACTCAGGACCTCAAGCTTGCAAGGCAGGTACTCTACCATTTGAACCACTCTACCAGCCCAATGCCTGGAACTCTTGATCCTTCTACCTCAGCTTCCTGAGTGCTGGGATTACATACAGTCATGCACCATTACTTCCAGCTCCATCTACTCTTAGTAGTTTGAACAGTTCCCCTAAAAACATGCCTGTCAAAGAATGAATTTAGAAGCTGGCTCAGAAATGGGTGGAGACCATTTCCCCCTTATAATCAACTATGGTAGCCAGACACTGGCGGTTCATGCCTGTAATCCTAGCTACTCAGGAGGCAAGAGATCAGGAGGATCGCAGTTGAAGGCAGCCTGGGAGAACAGTTCAAGAAACTCTATCTTGAAAAACCTATTATAAAAAAGGTGGAGGGGGGGAAGTACCACAAAAATAATCAATCATAAATAATTGATGTAAGAATAGGCCTCAAAATTTTTTGTATATTTATAGTGTAATGCCATCAAAAACCTTTCTGCCTCCATTAATCCAATAAAATTAACTAAACTTGCCAGGCACCAGTGGCTCATGCCTGTACTCCTAGTTACTGGGGAGGCTGAGATTGAGAGCATCACAATTTGAGGCCAGCCCTGACAAAAAGTTTGTAAGACCCTATCTCCAAAATAACCAGAATAAAACGGACTGGAGGTATGGCTCAAGAAGTAGAGTGCCTGCTTTGCAAGTATGAAGCCCTGAGTTCAAACTCCAACTCCCCCCACACAAAAAAATTAACAAAGCTTTTCTTAAGTATGCCAAGGCTAATTTACCACCATCTCCACCAAGATACTGACCAGAGGCCACGGACAGCACAGTGTTATCAGGTAGATGATTAAGTATAAAAAAAATAGCACTTATCAAACATCAAACACTAAACAGCCCTACACAACCAAGAGTTCTTCAGAAACCCTCTAGCCAGGTACCAGTGGCTCACACTTGTAATCCTGGCTACCTCAGTGACTGAGATATATGCAGGTCTGTTTTCCAGTGACAGTAATAAGGCAATTTTGTCATTATGCAAACACAAATGTAAATAGTATGATCTACTGTACACCTAGGTTATATAGTACATATGTACCATCACTTATGGTACATAAATTGCTAGACAATGTACAACTGTATCTGCTTTGTCATTTATCAATTTACTTTTAGGATACAACAAAAAAACGGAACCACCTCATTAGCTTCTCAAAGAAGCAGTAAGAATTCCTTAATTGGAGCTAGGGGTATAGCTCAGTGATGGAGTACTTGCCTAGCATATATGAGGCCCTAGGCTCAATCCCCAGTACCTCCAAGCCCCCACCCCAAAAGAAATCCTGAACTGATTTTTCCCTGTGCTCTATAACAAAAACAAAGAATAGGTTAAAAAGGTGACCCATGGGTCTGACTGTCATGGGGACCACTTCCCTGAGCTCTACATGAGAAGCCCGAGCTCTGGCTCCCTCATCACCTACACAGGGAATGACAGCACAAACTCTGCCCACACTCGAATACTGCACAGTAAACAGCAGCAATGTGAGAATGAGACCAACTCGTCTAAGCAGTCTTTAACAGCCAGCCTGACACTCACAAGTAAGTGTAATCTGAATTCTTGAGAAGAGTCACAGTGCATACTTCTCTAGAGTTTTGTGCCATAGTCCCTAGCACAGTTTACTCAAGATTTGTGTTCCTAGTAGAGGATGATATTATTCACAGTCCAAGGGTGGCTAAAAAGGCTAATGGCAGCCTGTTTATTTATTCCACTTTGAATATGTGGAAAACATTTTTTGACCATCTGTTACTGCTACAGAATGTAGAAGCTAAGATGAAATTGAGTTGAAAAACAGATTTTGATTAAGTTTCTTCTCTGCCAGAGGACTGCAATCTGCCAAAGTTACAACAGAGAGAGATATCCTTGTGAAAACAAACCACAACGTTAGGAACCGACAATTCCTGGATTTGCAGATTCTCAGAATTTCAGAATCAGAAAGAATCTTAAATTTATTTATTCCAAATCTATAATTTGCAAACAAGACACAAATAGCCAGAAAGTTAAGTGGTTTACTCAAGAGGCACAACTTGCCAATGGCAAACCAGGACTAAGTAAGTGACAGAAATGGGACTTAACCTAGCAGTCACTCAACTGTCTCACTATCCTGCCCTCTAAATTGAGAACCTTTATTGCTAATAATAGGATAAGTGCAATAATCAGTCTGTTTCAGGTTCACAGAAATTGAACCCTCATAGGAAAAATAAAAAGGTCCACAAAGCACTGCTTCCTTCACTAACCTTTGCCTTGAGGAGGTGATCACAGACCAGGCCTTGGCTTCTACACTTCCTACAAAAATCAGTGTCAAAGTATTTTCACATCTCAGCACATCACAGGCTTGTGTGTGTGTGTGTGTGTGTGTGTGTGTGTGTGTGTGTGTGTGTGTGTGTGTGTGTGTGTGTGTGTTTCTCTAGGGTTTGAACCCTGGGCCTCGAACCCTGGGCCTCATGCTTGCTAGGCCACTGGAGCCACTCCACCAGTCCACAGGCTTGTCTTTATGCAATAATGTAACACAACTCTGAAACAGTGGGTAGAGGAGGATCCCCTGCATCATCCAAATAAAATACAAAATTACAATTGTAACTGCTCAATCCCAGACAATCTGGTGGAATGTGCTCTTCCCCCATAGAGGCTTATTCTACAACTTTTTATTCTCAAAACTGATGTAGGAACAGATACATGTTTTTCTTAGGGA